GACGGAGGAGCCTGAGGGGATATAGTCCATGGGGTCACAAAGAGTCACTGAGTGACTGAGCCTAGCCCAGCAGTCTTTGGTAACATTCTAGATTTTTCCATTAAGTTCTTACACAAAAAGATGTCCTAAGCTGATCTTTTCATTATCTAACTCACACCAGGAATAGGTGATTTTTCTAAGGACTCCTGGTTCATTTTAATGAAACATAATGCTTAGAGATTATACTATGGGCAGTAGAAGTACTCATTGTTAGAGAATTCTCCTTGATTTTTTAGAAACTTTTTTTTTTAATTATAAAACAATCCATGTTCTTTATGAAAATGAAAGTGTCAGTTGCTCAGACTATAGCCTACCAGGCTTCTCTGTCCATGGGATTCTCCAGGCAAAAATACTGGAGTGGGTTGCCAGGCCCTTCTCCAGGGGATCTTCCTGACTCAGGGAACAAACCTGTGTCTCTTATGTCTCCTGCATTGGCAGGTGGGTTCTTTACCACTAGCGCCACCTGGGAAGCCCCTATTTTCTATTTTCTTTATAGAACATTTCAAAGTATAAATATATAGAGAAATTAAAATTATCTGTAATTGTCCACTTAGAATCTTGACTTTTGAGATTATAAGTCTGTTTTTAACTAGAACTATTAGTCATTCTAAACATTTATTAGAACTTCCTCATTCTGTTTTTTACCACTTTCAGAAGATTAGAGACTTGAGGCACTCTGAATATCTAGCAAACTCTCCAAAAATAATAATAAGACAGCATACTATTTTATGTATAAATAACTTATTCCCCCCAAAATTGAATATTCCTTTCTGAGAGTAGCTACAGATAGCTACTATAGAAACACAGATGAGAAGGAAAGAGCCTTAAAAGGATAAACTTATAAAGTTTCTTAAAATATGATTTGTGGGCCATCTGCATTTAAATTACTTGAGATACTTGTTAAAAACATACTTTCCTTTGTTCCATCCCAGATCCTCTGAATTAAACTCTCTGTGGGTAGGTCTTGGCCTTCTGCATTGTAAACTAATTCTCAGATAGTTCTTGGGCACATAGAAATTGGAGAATCCCTGATCTAAAGGAATTCTACAGTTGAAACTGAGAGGGAATTGGAGAAAACTTGAGTGCTTTTGTAGCTTTGATGGAAACAATAGGGAGGGTGGAGATGAAGAGTGAGAAGGAAAAAGAACCAAACTCCCCAAGGAAGGTGGAATTTAGAATATAGATGAAAGGATTGGCCTAGACTAGAAGGAGAAATGGTGGTGTTAACATACAAAGTTTAAAGCTTTGAAGTAAGCCAGCCCATTTCCTCATTTTTTATACAGGAAACACAGTCAAAAGGGTACCATGATGCCCAGGGTTTAATCAATTATCTAATAGTATTGGGTACAACCCAGTTTTTTCACTTGCCAGTCTGTTGCTGTTTGCTCAGCCTCATACTGTTGCTGCTTCTGTTCATTTCTGTGTAGAGTTACTGTCTGTTTCCAGTAGTACTTTAACCAAGAACCTTTCTTCTGTTATAATGCTCTGTTTTGTTCACCATTACCTGTAATATAAAGTTTTCTAAAGGGTGGTAAAAGAGAGAGATGCTCTTGCATGTCTGTATCAGCTTCTGCTACCATGATTGGGATAATTGATTGAAATATCAGCCGAAAGCTTTTCCACACAAAGAGCAGGAAGATGGAGGATTGTGTACAGAAGTAGTTATTAATTTCTTCCTTCTGCAGTAGACTAGGCCCAACAATAGTGGCTGCCTCTTATTCCATACTTCTTTTGTATCTGAAACCCTGCTTACTGCTTTATATTCATCACCTTGATTTTTTATGAGGACCTTCCAAAGGTAGGTAGTGTTAAGATCTGAGCTGTGAAAACGGGGGATGTCAAGGTCAGGGAGGTTACATACTTCAAGGAATCAAAGTAAGTAGCAGGACTCAAGTTTGAATGTCTGACTCCCAAGTCCACGATCTTAACTACTCTGTCATACTGCCTTTCTTTGTGTACATGGGGGCTGTGACTGGAAGGATTGACAGTGGCATCCGAAATTCATAGTGCTCCCATCATATAACTTCAGGGCTGGACAACATTTTAAGACTGAGAGCTTATTTTGTAGTACTTACATTGCTTGGTTACATAAATCTGTATTAGGATTGCTGAATGTTAACATGTAATGCTTTCTTTTTCCCTTTCATTATTTTTGTACCACCTTAGTGGTGGCTTCTGATATACTCTTTTCTTTTCAGAAAAACCATGCCAGATGGATCATCTGGATCGAATCCTTCTGTCTGGCATCTATAATGTACGCAAGGGAAAGACCCAGCTGCATAAGTGGGCTGAACGCCTGGTTGTTCTCTGTGGCACCTGCCTCATCGTGTCCTCAGTGAAGGATTGTCAGACTGGGAAAATGCACATATTGCCTCTGGTTGGGGGAAAGGTAAGACCCACAAAAATAAATTATTCTTTCTTTGGTCATCTTAATTAAAAAAAAAAAAAATCACATATACTTCTCAGAGTTTTTTCCACATCTTTTCAAAGAAGCCATTCTGAACATTATTAAAGATTACATCACAAAGTTTTTGCATTCTTAGGTTTAAAAGAAACGGACTCAGGCTAATTTACACATAAAACAAGTTTTTTACATCACAGACTCCCTTGGAGGTCCAAAGACTATGTTGTTGATCAGTTGCTAAGTCGTGTCGGACTGTTTGTGACCCCATAGACTGCAGCATGTCAGGCTCCTGTGTCCTCCACCATCTCTTGTAGTTTGCTCAAATTCATGTTCATGGAGACTTATCCATGCCCAAGGTTCTGCTGCAGAACCCATCTGTTGAAGAAACCCCTGCTTCCACTGCTAGGCACTAAATGCTGTCAGTAATACCACCAAGAGTAACCAGGGGCTGCTGCCACTAGCAGCTGCCTTTGGAAACTAGAAGTAGTGGCTCCTTTTGGAAACTAGGCTGCCTTTGGAAACTTAGCATCCAACACCAAAACTGATTCTTTCCTATTTCTCCTTTTCTCCCATTAGACCGAAATTGAGTCTGGAGTGCTCATAAGCTCCTATCAAGCAGGCAGAGAGGCCTGCCTTTGGAAACTTAGCATCTTCCACTAAAATAGATTCTTTCCTATTTCTCCTTTTCCCCCGTTAGACTGAAATTCAGAGTCTGGAGTGCTCATAAACTCCTGTCAGGCAACTAGAGAGACCTGCATTTTTTGCATCTGTACAAGAGAATTCCCCATGATAGGAAAAGCAGTTCGAAGTCATCAGAGTGATAGATGATTGGAAACAGATAATGCTACTGTTTATTGGAAGTTATAAGAGAGAAAAGAACCTGCAAATAATTGACAGGCTGACAACAGCTTTCTTTTCATCAACAATATGTACAGAAGAGTATTTGCAAAATTACTGAGAGAAAATAAATGTCAACCTGTATTTTATATCCAGTTGAATTACTTTGTGAGAATCAAGGCAAAATAGAACATTTTCAGACATTTAAAAACTAATGAGGGACTTACCTGGTCGTCCAGTAGCTAGAACTTGGTGCTTTCACTGGGTTCAATCCCTGGTCAGGGAACTAAGGTTCTGTAAGCCATGCTGCACAGCTGAAGGGGAAAAAAAAAACAACATAAAACTAATGAGCTGACATATATCCTCACTGAAAGAACTACTGAAGATGTATGTCTAAAAAACAACACCTCTCCAAATAAACAGGGAAAAAAAGAAGAAAACAACAAAGGAACAAAGGAAAGTAAATTCAAAAGGAAGGTATAAGATATAAGAATAGATGATGAGTGCAAACACTGATAAAATATGGTAGTAAATTTAATACTGATTGTAAAAAGATTTAAATTTTTTTATATTTTGAATATAAATTTCAACAATTAAAGCTCAAACTCCTGAACAGCAGTCAGGATATGGTGATGTGTTCAATGAGGAACGTGTGATGCAGTCTTTGGATAAGAGGAAAGAAAGAAAGTGAAAGTGAACTCGCTCAGTCGTGTCGACTCTTTGCGACCCCCATGGACTGTAGCCTACCAGGCTTCTCCGTCCATGGGATTTTCCAGGCAAGAGTACCAGAGTGGGTTGCCATTTCCTTCTCCAGGGGATCTTCCCAACCCAGGGATCGAATCCAGGTCTCCTGCATTGCAGGCAGTCGCTTTACCCTCTGAGCCACCACCAAATAGCTTTATGGTTTGTTAGAAAAATGCTGAAGTACAAACTTAAAAATTTTAAGGATTCTGCAAAAGGGAAAAAAAAAAAAAGAAAAATTTTAAGGATCACTGCTAAAAGTAGAGTGGGAAAAGAGAATATAAATTCTGTAATGCTAAAAGAAGGCAGGTAAAGGATTGAGAAAAAGGAGCAAAATAATTAGCATGGTAAATTATAAATCCAAATATTTTGTACTACTTACTGTTTATAGGAGACACACCTAATAGAAGGCTGAATATGAAATGATAGAAAAATCACACTAGCCAAATAGCAACCGAAAGAAAATTGGTGTGGTTATATTAACAACATACAAAGTACATGAAAGTTTGTATGCAACATAGGACTTGTGTCAAGACTACATAAAGAACATTTACAACTTGGTAATAGACAAATAACCTATTTTGGCAAAGTTGGGAAGCGACTGGGAACACAGTCACTTTGGAAAACCTGTTTTTTTTTGTTTCTTATAGTTAAAAATCTGCTTATCAGAAAACTGAGCATTTCTCTTAGATACTGAGAAATGAACACAAATATTTACGAAAAGTATAAGTGAATGTTCATAGCAACTTTGGTTATAATTGACTCAAACTGGAAGCAACTCAGTGTTCACTGAGTGGTGAATTGATAAAGCAGGTGTGCTGTATCCACATGTGCTGTGTTCACTGAGCCACTGAGCAGTGAAAAGGCATGAGCTGCTGATTCACACAGGAAAAAGGGTGCATCTCAGAACATTCAGTGGGAAAAGCCAGATGTAAAAGTCTATTTATTGTGTGATTCCATTTACATGAAACTTAAAGAAAAGAAAAAACTGTAGTCATAGAAAAGAGACCAGTGGTTGTGCCATGATATGGAAGAAGGGGATTGGCCGCAAAACAGCATGAGGGACGTTTTGTGGGTGATGGGGTTGTCCAACTATATTTGTTCCATCTCGTCAAATTGTTCACTTACAGTTTATGAGTTAAAAAAAAATCACAAATTTAATGTAAATTATAACCCAGTAAAACTTGCCTCCTGAGAAAGACATTAATGTGCAAAAGCATTAATAGGGATAAGGAGGTTCGCTGCAAACTGATGAGAGTATTACCATGTATTACCATGTAGTCTCAACATACATATTGCAAAACTTAACAAAATTACTCAGAACTTGACAAATTAACTTCTAGTGGAAGATTTACAAGCCTTTCTCAGAATTTGACATTATATGACTATTTTTCTGTGTCAAACATCCCATAAAAAATATTTAGAAGAAAAGGTTATTCTAAAGCAATCAATAATGCCTGTTCTTCATTTCAACAAAGTCCTTTATTTTGACACAAACTCATTGAATTGTGGTGATTTATTAATAATAAAAATAGCTTAGTTGTAAGCATCACAATTGAATGTTATGAATATTATTTAATTTTATTGGATCTTCTTAATATGATTCTTATCTGTTTAAAAGTATTTTGTGTTTCTGCCATTTGGTTCAGTCTTTACTTGGCACCAGAAGTCTAATGATTTATAACTTGGAAGTTTCCAGCTGACTCACCGAGATTCAGTAGCTATGACATACAGAAGTGAGATGTCAGACAAAGATGTAAGTGGTTCCATAACTATAAAAAGACTTCATCTTCATCAATGGTATATAGGCTGGGTTGTTGAAGAAAGCTGTTGTTGTGCTATGAATCCCTACCATCACCCCAAATGGGACTGGAGGACGTTCTGACTCTTTCCCCAAGCCTAGTGAAAGAGGTTTCAAAAGAACCCACGGAATCCTGATTCACATTCCCTGCAGAAAGGGGGACATAATACACTGTTATCTTGCCTTCTGACCAGAAGTCTTGAGGATGAGATAGGCTGCTTTGGTGATTGATAGACCACAGAGCCTAACTCATGTGTTGGGATTCTTGTGTATTCCTTGGGTTTGTTAGTATGTGACCCAATTGGGTTGAGAGGGAACATGAGCCATTGGGTGGGTTGGTGGATTCTCATGTCTGGTGGGGCCACCTGGAGAGGCCAACAGACGTCACTGGAGGACGGGCTGTCAGTGGACCACCAGGTTCCTTCTCATCTGGGGAGGAAGTGGTGACCTACTGGAATAGTATGCATTAGCCTGGTCAAGGAATCTGTAGGTGAGAAGCCACTATTGGTTGAATTAGGGGGCTGGTATCCAAAGAAACTTCAAAAGGACCTATTGAGGAAGATCATCTCCTTTAAAATCTAGTAGGTCCAGAGAGTGTGAAGTCAGGTTATGACTCTGCTAGTTTAGTAACAACCTTTGGGTTTGCATGTTCCCTGTTCTTCATTCTGCCCCACGTTTGTGCTGGACAGGGTCAGAAATGGCTTCTAGCCCACAGCTATCTCCAGTGTACCACAGTGGAGACGGAAAGGTTTGGAGCAGTCTGACCTTTGAAGTGGAAACTTTGGCTCATACCTTGTGGGCCTGCAGACTCCTGTTCTGAAACCCCCCTGCAGTGGAAGCACAGAATCCTAACCACTGCACCACCAGAGAATTCCCCCTTTGGTTTTTTTCTAAACAGCTTTATTGAGATGAAATTCATATACTGTACGGTTAACCCATTTAAAGTATGCAACTCAGTGGCTTTTAGTAAATTCACAGAGTTGGGCAACCGTCACCATAATCGATTTTAGAATACGTCCATGACCCTTTGAAAAGAAACCCTGTGCTACTTAGCCTTCATCTCCCCATTCCTTCTCTAGCCCCAGGCATCCATTAATCTACTTTCTGTCTCTGTAGATTTGCTCATTCTGGACAGTTCATATAAATGGAATCATACAACGTATGGTTCTTTGTGACTGGCTTCTTTCACTTAGTGTAATGTTTTCAAGGTTCATGTGGGTTGTAGTGTGTATCAGTGTTTTATTCTCATTTATGGCTGAATAGTATTGTATGATGTACTACATTTTGTTTATACATTTACCTGTTGATGAACATGGAGGCTGTTTCTACTTTTTCCTGTTATGAATAATGCTGCTGTAATTCATAGAAACTTTCTGTGTGGATGCGTTTTTTTCTTGGGTATATACCTAGGAATGGAATTGCTGGGTTACATGGTTACTGTATGTTTAACCTTTTGAGGAACTCCCCAACTATTTTTCAAAGTGACTGTACCATATTACATTCTCAGATTCAGTTTCCCTGCACCCCTGCTAATGCTTGTTACCCAACACTTGTTATTATCTGTGTTTTTTATTTTAACCATCCTAGCGGATGTGAGGTGGTACCTTGTGGTTTTGATTAGCATTTATCTAATAAATAATGACATAGAGGGCTTCCCAGGTGATGCAGTGGTAAAGAATCTGCCTCCCAATGCAGGAGACACAAGAGAGGCAGGTTCGATCCCTGGGTTGGGAAGAGCCCCTAGCATAGGAAATGGCAACCCACTCCAGTATTCTTGCCTAGAAAATTCCAAGGACAGAGGAGCCTGGCGGGCTACAGTCCACAGGGTCACAAAGAGTCAGACACGACTGAGCACACACTCAATGATGTAGAACATCGTATCATGTGCTTATTGGTCATTCCTCTGTCTTTGGAGAAATATCTTTTCAGATCTTTTGCCTACTTAAAAAACTTGAGTTTTTTGTCTTTGTTGTTGTCCTGTGATTTTTTAGATTGGGATTGTTCTTTTTAATTGGTTCTGGTTTTCTCCTCGCTTCTTCAGGTAGAAGAAGTGAAGCGACGTCAGTACTCCCTTGCATTCAGCTCAGCTGGAGCCCAAGCGCAGACCTATCTTGTCAGCTTTGAGACTTTGGCTGAGCACCAGAGGTGGCAGCGGCAAGCTTCCAAGGTGAGAAGCTGTCAGACGTCCTCATGGGGAGAGGAGGACAGAGAAACCAGCAGAAAGATATTTTGAAATTGAACTTACTCCCAAGAGATTGAATTATAATTCTTATGTACATCACTCCAGGCTTTTCTGAATACATAGTGAATGAAATAGAATTCTCCCAGGTCCTTAACTTTTTATTTATATTGGCACCGTGCAGACTGCTTACAAAAGTGTTTTCAGGTACCAACTCTGTGAGGAAGGTAGGGGCTTGAAGGAATAGAGACACAATGAGGTTCACATGACTCTCCCCTCACTGTGGTGGTCCGTGATAGATGGAGCTGTCCCCTAACTCATAGTCTGATGCTTCTGTCTGTATTTAGCCCAGCCTTTAAAGATGAATTGCTCTTAAATTATATTTCATTTTCCAAGTTCTCTTGTCTTCTTAGCCATCTTTTCAGGATTTAAACACAGTTTTCTTTATGGGGCTAGGTAGTTGCATTAAAGATTGTTTCAGTATAATGACATGCCACCAAAACATGAATGACTTTTTTTTTTTTTTTTAAGATCCATTTTCACAGCCCATGTTTTGTTAGTATACTATTATAGCAATATAAACCTTGTTTCAGTGTTATTTCTGTATTTGTGATAGTAATAAAATCTGCTATGAATAAATCTAGTTTCAATTTTAAACAGCTTCTCCATTCTTCTGCCCTTGTAAAGAGAAATTAATATTTTTTTGAGCATCTTTTGCATGCTAAGCAGCAGTGCTGCATACTTGGTTTTTTAATTTTCCTCACGACAGATGAAGAAACTGCAAGTTAGGAGCTTGTGTGGCTGCAAAAGGCCATATTAAAAGGTCTTTTAATATCACATTCCCTCCTAATGTTTTGAACAGTTACTTGGAATCATCTTAACTTTACTTCCTGCGTGAGCTGTTACTAACTTTCCATCTTTATGATTTTTTTTTTAACTTGTAAACACTTTACACTTTACTAGCTTATACCTTTCTGTTTTTCACGCATCTTACGGTTTTGGGGAAAAAGTTAAAATTCACTGCTTCTTATAAATGAATACTCAGATCTTGTGACCTTTCTTGTCTTCCCATCTTTTTAATTGGTTCCTTGTTGTGTCCGTGCTGTTCCATCCTCCGCTGGGTGGGAGACGTTCAGCACTGGCTGAGATGGCTCTTCTCTGTGACCTCGTCCAGGTGGTGTCCCAGCGCATCAGTACCGTCGACCTCTCGTGTCACAGCCTTGAGGAGGTTCCTGAACATCTCTTCTACAGTCAAGATATCACCTACCTCAACTTGCGACACAACTTCATGCAGTTAGAAAGACCAGGGGGCCTTGACACTTTCTACAAGTATGTGGGGCACAGGTTTCCAGACCAACTTACTAAAATCTAATTGTAGTCAATATCTGTAGATAAGCATGTTTACCCATTGTGTACATATTAGAAAATTTCCCCTCCCTTTTGAAGAAGTAAGAATTTTTGTTCAGTTTTCCCACTCCCCCTTCCCCCTCTGTACAAGGTATGATAGATGTAAAGTTTCTGACATGGAGGCAGCATCGAGCTGCCCTTGATCTGGATAATCTTTTTCTATAAGTCATTGATGGTGGAGTGTGATCTGCAGCCAGGGTAAATAGAGTCCATATTTGAGAAGTTTTTAAATCAAAAGTTTCAGACTTAAATAACTTAAAGGAAATAGGCCAAATTTCAAGAATTCCACTCCCAGGTTAGGGCTTTTATCTTTCCTTTGCATCTGCTACTGCTAACTCACAAGCCTTTTGTCAGCGATGAAACCTTTCTCTCCTAATAAAGGAACCATTTCAGTCCTAAAGGACAATGACCCATATATTTTTCCATCTCCTTTGTTAGAATATATTCCCCATTCCCACCCTCCACCAACTTCACCTCTTTCCTTTCTTTAAAAAATGGGTAGAAGTGAATAAATATGTGGTGTAAGTAATTTGGTTTCTTGTGGGGAGGGGAGAAGTTGAAAGTTAAAGCGTTCAAACTACATGGTAATCAAAAAGCTAAATGTACATTGAAATGACATATTTTACATACTTAGTAACTAGTATTTCATAATTTTCAAAAAATGTATGATTTTTACCTCATCTGAAATGTTTTGCAAAGTTTTCAAACATAAGCCTCTGTGTAGTAATGAGATAGTTATTTTAATAATATTGATGTTTATAAATAAAAACAAGCTATAATTTTAAGGAAGTGGACTTCTAATATTTCCTTCTGAATGTCTATGAAAATAGGATTAGTCTTATTTGAGGGCTGGCTTAGGAAATTGGAAGTCAAGGTGCCAAACCAAAGGAACAATCAGTACTCAAAGTCAGGATATTTGGAAGTCAAAAGTTGAAATTTTCAAAGAGAAATGTTAGAGAGGGTTACCATAGATTCAAGTCTAGAAGCAGATGATGTGGTTCATCATTGTGGAGATCACCACCTTAGCCTTACCATCTTGCAGTAGTATAATAATGAAGTATAATACTCTTAAGTAGAATTATAGGAGTGACTCTTTAGGATCCAATTTATGATGATACTGTCTCTCAGTGAGACATTATGTAGATACTTCTATAAAAATTTGAAGTGTTAAAAATTACTATTTTGTGTTATGTATCATCACATTACAGTAAAACAGCATGTCACCTATGTATTTTTTAACTAACTGGCTCAGTCATCTACAAAAAGAGAAATTGCTTGTAATGAGATTTAATCCACAGGTTTGCTAGCTAGTCCTGTGTCCATGAATTGATTAATTGTAAGGCTTTTGTATATTGCATGTAGAAATTTCATAAAGGAAATTATTTGAAGCATATCAATAATGGTATTGATTTAACTTGATAGAAAATAATTGTACCATTGTGAGTTTTTCAAGAGTTTCTGCCTTTCTGAGGAGAAGAGAGAACAACTCCCATCTCACCAGACCTGGTTTCCTTGGTAGCTCAGACTGGGCATTAGTCATCCTAGTGTCTGTGCCATACACACTGTTTGACACATACTGAGTGTTCAGTAAATATATGCAGAACAAATTCTTTGATGGACATTTATGACATCACTTTTTCATTCAGTAGTATAATGTGCCTTTGCCTTTTAGATTTTCTCAGCTGAAGGGTCTGAACTTGTCCCATAATAAGCTTGGGTCATTTCCTGTATTGTTATGTGAAATTCCTACCCTCACTGAGCTCAACCTTTCCTGTAATGGATTCCACGACCTGCCGAGTCAGATTGGCAGTCTGCTGAAGTAAGTACCTGATTTTTACTGGGTTTGTGTTTTCTTTTGTTTGCAGTGTAAGGAACTTTTCTGGCATTTGGAATGAAGGTAGTTCCGTGAGCTCTTGCAGTGAAATAGATAATGTAATTATGAGAATTCTAGTCAGCAGCAGTTACTTGCCTACAGAAGACACTGGTCCCTCGTTTTAACCGCAGAGGCTCTGACTACCTTTGATGTTAGAGGCACCATCTGTGTTTAAGTCATCTTAGTAAGTCTCTATAGATAGACTGAGGGCACTTAATCATATTGGACTCATAATAAATTAGTGACAAGTAAAATTCCATAATTCTAGTTCTATCCATCCCAATTAAAACGTTTCATCAAGGAGTTTTGTTTTGTGTTCTCTTCTTGCAGTCTTCAGACCCTCTGTCTTGATGGTAACTTCCTGACCACTTTACCTGAAGAACTGGGAAATCTGCAACAGCTTTCCTCCCTGGGAATTTCCTTCAACAACTTTAGTCAAATTCCCGAGGTTTATGAGAAACTCACTATGTTAGATAAAGTGTTTATGGCTGGAAACCAAGTGGAAGTGCTAAACCTGGGGGTGCTGAACCGGATGAGCCATGTCAAACATGTGGATTTGAGGTGAGGTCATTCTTTTTCATTTTTGATTGCACTGAGTCTTCACTGCTGCTTGTGGGCTTTCTCTAGTTGCGGCAAGCAGAGGCTCCTGTTGTTGCAGAGCACAGGCTTTAGGCACAGGGGCTTCAGTAGTTGCAGCATGCGGGCTCAGTAGTTGTGGCCCGTGGGCCCTAGAGCACCAGCTTAGTAGTTATGGTGCACGGGCTTAGCTGCTCTGTGTCATGTGTCCCAGAACAGGAATCGAACTCGTGCCCTCTGCATTGGCAGGTAGATACTTATCCACTGCATCACCGGGGAAGTCTGTTTTGGTCATTGTTCACTGCGCTTTCTTTTTGCCTGACCTCTGATGTTCCTTTACATTTTCCTTGTAAAAATAAAGACTCTTGAAACCATTAGGATTTTAGGACAATGTATATTTTTAAAGCTGTAGTAAAGCTTCATTTTTCACTTAATGGCGGAGAGATTTCTGAATGAGGTAGGTGTACCATGTGGTAGAGATGAAGGTTGTTCTGACTTACCCTCCTAGCAGCCTTTTATGAGAATTCCCATTTCCTTTCATCCTTACCAATGTTTGGATTTTAGCAGTCTTTTTCCTTGTTAGTGTAGTAGGTAGAAAATACTATTTCATCATTTTAATCAGCATTTATTATGAATGAGGTTGAGTATCTTTTTGTATACTTATTGGTGGTTTGTATTTTTCCATAATAAACTTGACCATTTTTCTGTTGAATCATTGGGTTTCTTCTTGATATCTGTGGTATTAGAATTGAAATGTTACCAGTTTTACCAGTAATATTTTTTAATGAGAGTTTTATTCCTTTTTAAAATTATTTATTTATTCGTAATCTTTTCCTAAATGAAGATAGTAAAACACACATACTGAATGTTCTGTCATTTACACTAAGCCATTGATATCCCTCATAAAGACATGGTAACAAAAATTTATTGAAGAATAGGAAAATGAGAACAGGCCTGTGTGCATTAAATCATATACCTGTATAGAAGAAACCAAAGAAGTCATCATTTTCTTTTACTTGCCCTTGAACTATTCCGTATAGATACAGACTGTTTTCCTCTCCCTTAATTAATGTAATGGGAATCTTGGCATTGGAGAGTAGGCAGAGCAGTGAGAGGCAGTGTGGCTGTTTCCTCTTGCTCTTATGTGGTACTTACTCTGTGACCGTCCTGCTACTCCCAGCCCCAAAGGTTATGCTCATCTTCTCATATCTTTGTTTTATTCCTTCATCCCTGCCTAACCTTACTAGGTATTTGGATGCAGGTTTTAGACTAACTGTTTATGGACATGGTCCCCTTTTCTTTCTCTTTATTTAATTTGTGCATGTATTTGCCAATCTGCAGTCTCTAACTTAGCTTGTAAACAAAGAACCCAAGGTACAGCTATCTGTGGTTATTTACTTAGTACCTTCCAAAATGAGGCAAGGAGTAAAATTCTTAAGTTGTTTAGGAAAGAGACAAGAGGAACAGATTTCTCCTGTTTTTTTCTTTTGGTAAGCACGTTTAGTAGACTTTATTTCTAATGATTTTCTTATTTCTGAATATTAAGGATGAACCATCTAAAAACCACGATTATTGAGAATCTGGAGGGAAATAAATACATCACCCACATGGATTTGCGGGACAATCAGCTGACTGACTTAGATCTTAGCTCCTTGTGCAACTTGGAGCAGCTGCATTGTGAGCGGAACCAGCTGAGGGAGCTGACACTCAGTGGCTTCTCCCTCCGAACTCTCTACGCCAATTCGAACAGTGAGTTCTCTACCCAGCCTCGTGTGTTTCCTCTTGTAGCTCCTGTCCGAGCTGTCCAAGAAAGGTGGCATCTGAGGTATTCCTCAGTCACTCTGCCAAGTGGAGTTTGAGGTTCACGGAGACCTAGCTTTTAAGTTTGCAGTCAGCACTTCAGTGGTTGAGATATGCATAAAAAAATATTGCAGGATTATTTGAGCTCCACTAAATGAAAGTTATAATAATCAGAGGCATTTTGCAAAATGCCAGGATGTTAGGGTGGGCAAGCATGTTTAAAAAGAGAATATCAGTAATAGTCGTGCAACATGGGTTGGCCAGCTGCAGCCCAGGGGCTAAATTGGGTCTACATCTCGCTTTGTGTGGCCCTTGAGGAATGGGTTTTTATGTTTTTTAATGGTTGGGTTTTTAAAAAAATCAAAGGAAGAATAATTTTGACATGGGGAAGTCATATGAAATTCAAATTTAATTGAATAAAGTTTGATGGGAACACACCCACATTCGTTTGCATATTAACCAGTCTCCTGCTACAGTGGCAAAATGATTGAGTAGTTTTGAGAGAAGCCACATGGCTTGCAAAGGCCAAAATATTACTAAATGCTTAGCCCTTTACAGAAGATTACCAGTCTCTAGTCTAAAATCTTATGCTGCCTTAGTTCCAGAATGAGAAGCCCTTCACTTCAATAGTGATTTATTTGCCTTAGGGATATTTTTCAATGTAAAAGGCCTCTTATTTGTTGAGGTTATTCTGTTTATAGAGAATTCCTTACTGAAGAAGTTATACAATTGACTCTTGGAAAGCATAGCTTTTAAATGCACAGGTCTGCTTTTTGTTTGTTTGTTTTGTTTGGCCATGCCATGGGGCTTGGGGGATCTTAGTTCCCTGATCTGGGATTGAACCAGGGTCATGACAGTGAAAACACTGGATTCTAATCACTGGACCACCAGGAAATTCCCTGTACAGGTATACTTAAACATGGAGTTTTTTCAGTAATAAATACAATTGCTCCTTGAATAATGCAGGGTTTAGGGGCACCTCAGACAAACCCTATAGACAAAAATCTGTGTAACTTTACAGCCAGCCCTCTGTTTTCATGATTCTGTATCTGTGGATTCAACCAATCATGGATTGTGTAGTATTGTAGTATTTACATATATGTATGTGTATATGTACATACATACATATGAATGTATGTGTGTACATGTATATATAAAACACTATATAAAGTTTTGTATGGATTTTCAACTGCTCAGAGGGTCAGTGCCTGTAACCCCTACATTGTTCAAGGGTCAATTGTAACTGCTTTTCTGTGTTTAAAGAAGAAAGGAAAAGATACTCAATTTCACTGTCAGTCAAAGAAATGCAAATTTAGGTAATACCTTCCTATCACAGAACAGAGCAAAAGAATTGTTCTGTTCACGGAATCCTTAAATTCTACAACCCAGAAGAATTCATACCAACACTTGAGGTTTTGACACCTTAAGAGTAAAGAACTCAACTTTCAGCTTCACAGAAGTCCCTGGTCATCAGGGATGTCTTTTATTGAATTTACTACAGTATTGCTTCTGTTTTATGCTTTGATTTTTTGGCCATAAGGCATGTGTGATCTTTGCTTCCCGATCACAGATCAAACCTGTGTCCCCTGCATTGGAAGACAAAGTCTTAATCACGGGACTGCCGGGGAAGTCCTACTTACTGGTTTTGAATCTTTAGTTCATCTCAGTAGATGACACACATTTTTATTGATTTCCCTCCATGTTTCCTCAGTTACATTCTTCTTTGGAGAATGTCACTAACACCAGTCTGTTCTCCGGTTAGGACTGACAGCAGTGAGTGTCTATCCAGTACCCAGTCTGCTCACGTCTCTCGAACTCTCCCGGTGAGTGTGTCTCATTGGAGTGGTGGCGGTTTGATTCCTATACTTAAGAGATGTCTGTGGGCACTCTGGCAGTTTTGAGGTATAGGAAATCCCAATATGTTGAAATATTTGCGTGACATAGAGGAATGCAGAAGGTTGGCTAAAGGAGTATGTTTAATGGCCATACTATCTAGTTGAAGTACTGAAGCTGAAGCTCCAGTACTTTGGCCACCTGATGCGAAGAACTGACTCATTGGAAAAGACGCTGAAGCTAGGAAAGATTGAAGGCAGAAGGAGAACGAGATGACAGAGGATGAGATGGTTGGATGACATCACTGACTCTATGGATATGAGTTTGAGCAAGCTCTGGAAGTTGATGATAGACAGTGAAGCCTGGCGTGCTGCAGTCCATGGGGTGGCAAAGAGTCAGACATGACTGAGTAACTGAACTGAACTGATCTAGTTAAAGGAAAGGTGCCTCTGAATTACTCATTGTTACAGTTTGTGGATTTATAATGAGTTGCAAACAAAGACCTATTTCCCTTCCATGGGCATTGATTTTTCCAATTGGAATCAGATAATTCTTGGTTTTGAGTGACTTAAAATGTTATTCTCTTACTCTTGTGAGCCATGTCAATCTGATTTGCAGAGCGATGTTAATTATATTTAAAATTTTATTTCTTCTGTCAGTGGTCAAGAATAAACATAAACGAGGTTTGCTTTCTTTCCTTCATTCGTTTTTAACACTGTGTTAGGCATTCAGGAGTCAGTGGCTGAGTTTTACAGTCTAATTTTATAGTCTAGCTTGTCTTGACAATCGGACAAGCAGTAAGAGGGCAGCAGCGTAAGTGCTGTGAGTGTAGAGGAGTAGCAGCATGTGGAACGGGCAGTGGGCGGAGTCCTGTATTGTCAGAGTTGCCGCAAAGTTTAAATGAGACAATAAATGCAACATATGTAGCCTAGTACCTTGCATAAAATAGTCTCTCAAGAAAAGTTAGCCATGATAGCCAGGTTTCCTTTTGTTTTTGTGACTTTATCATTATTATTATTAACCTGTTGTTCTAGATTCTTCCATCCATTTCTCTCTGTCATCTTCCTGTCAGCAAAACCCCTGTATGGTTCAGGATGAAGATTTACCTTCCGTACTGAACTTGATCATTACTGAAGAAAATCATGTGGACCCACCCTAAATTCACAGTTTCCAGCCTCATCTGGAGTTTCTTCTTTTGTCAGTTCTTTCCAGGGTCCTCGAATCTGTTCCAGATTGCTTGGCTGCTTTCGACCCCTCCCCTTCTTATGTCCTCTGCTCTGGAGCTCAGCTTCCCACTTGACTGAGAAAATAGAGGTCATCATGGGTGATCTCCTTTAGCTTCCTACCCCCGTGCTAAAATTCACATAGATCCATATGCATTCTCAGCTTTCCTTTATTCCAAGCCAGCCCAGCCATCTGTGCCTTTGATCACATCCACTCCCACTGCCCTGAACCTTGCTCTGTTAGTCACCCCTCCTTCTCTTCTTTCACATGAGTTCAGTGTCTTTCTTGGTCTCTATGCACATTTATATCTCTTGTCTTAACAAATAAACATTCCCATTATCTTGCACCCCCTCTAGCTACTATTCTGTTCCTTCATCTTGCTCATCCCTTTGTTTATCCACATTTCTCAAGAATTATCTGTATTTCTTGGCACATTTTCCTGTTCCCAATTGTTCACCCCACGACAGCTGGCTTTAGACCTCCTCTTGTGGAACTTTTCTGTATTGACACTGTTCACCTTGCTCTCTTTTATTCAGACATGCTGTTTTCTTGGCTGGCTGATACAGTCTGATTTTTTTCATGCCCCTCTGACCATTTCTTCTGTCTTCTGTACTCTTCCTTAGCCAGCCCTTTAAAGGTAACTTGTCTCAGGGTCTGTCCTTGGCCACTGCACTTCTCATTTGACACAATCTCATTTACTCCCAGAATCTCACTACACTTCAGTGTCAGCATCACTCAGAGCACCAGTCCAGACTCCGTTTTTTCAGCCTCAGACCTGTGTGTCCATTTTCATAATAGATGTTTCCTCCTGCGTGTCTCCAAATACCTCAGATATTGCAAAATAAGATTTATTATCCACCCCTCCTCCAGCACTTTAACTTGTTTGTCTTGTTTTCTGTTTCAGCTTTTGGTGTTGTGAGACGATCAGCTCAAGATGGACACCACTGAAATTCATGATTCTTAACCTCATTTGGAGCTTCTCAGCCCTTTCTCTGGATAGGATTTCCTCTCTGGTCATCTAGGCTAAAGCCTAAATGTCACTTTTGATTCTTCTCTCTGCTCTACTCACATATTTACTCCATCTCTAAGTCATTTTAATTTTTTCCTCCTAAGTGTTTCTGGCTCCTTTCCCTTCCCTTCCAGGTGTATCACTACTCATTGAGGCCGTTATCATTTCCTTTCGGGATAAAATTGTCTCACAGCTTCTTGATTACGCTTCCTTTTACTAATACAGCCACCTCAGTGAGACCTCTTGTGTATTCAGAGTGAGCTCTTTAAAGTGCAAAACTGACATTGTGTCCTTGCTGCTCACAAACTCTTCAGTGATCCCCCTACACTTGCAGGATAAGGTCACAGCCTCTGAGACATGATTAAGTCTTTCCAGCCTTATTTCTTCTCACACTGCTCCATATTTGCCGCTCCAGCATCACCAAACTACTTACTATTCTTTTCTTGCCTCTGTGCTCTAGCGCATGTTGTCACCTCTTACTGGACGTGCCCGCCACACCTCAGGGCATTGTGCAACATTCTACCACAGATGTCATATTTCTTAGGGGACTTGCCTTTAAGGGCTTCCTTCACTGTGTAGTCAGAGCAACATCTGCATTTCTCTTGCAGCATTTACTTCACTCTGCCTCATCGTACTGATCCATCGATCAGTAGAGACTTTGAGGCTTAGGGAGGCTAAGTAACATCTGAAAATAAAATTCCTGTGACTGAAGATCTGGTCAGTACTCTACTGAAGATTTGAATTCACATTCTAAATGATCTGGCACTTTCCCCTGGCTCGTTACCTTTTGTTCTTGTTTCCTCACTTTTATTCCTTTCGTTCTTTTCCCCCAGAATTCACTTCCCTTCTCCCCCAGTCTTCACCTGGGGATATCCTCCTCAGCTTTGAAGATATGTCTCTGGTGCCCCATCTTCATTGAGCCAGCAGCACAGTTGCTCCAGTATAACACACGTGTGTGTGGCTTTCTCTCTCTCCACCTTTCTGTCAGTGACATTCATTGGGCATCTACTGTATTCCAGGCAGCACACCAAGGGTGCCCTGGGGATTGTGCTTCTGCCCTCAGGGAGCACAGGGGCGGATGTGTTACAGACTGGTGAAGCGGTGTGAGTTCCTCCTCATCCAAAATGATACCCTTTAATTATTTCTTTTCTGCAGAAACCTGCTAGAGTGTGTCCCTGACTGGGCCTGTGAAGCAAAGAAGATAGAAATATTAGACGTGAGCTATAATCTCCTGACAGAGGTTCCCATGAGGTATTCATGTGTTAATAAATATATTATGTATGTATTTAATTAAATAATTTCCTATATTTGGGTTGCCTGTCAAGGATGCTTTGATTCATCTGTTTGGTAAACATTGAGTATCTGTTGAGTGCAGGGCAGCATGAGTGCTGTAAGGAATACAGTAACACGTCAGGCCTAGTCTTGGCCGGCAAGGAACTTAGTAAGCAGATAGTAAGGGTGACCTGTGCAGAGATAACTGTGATACAATGTAACAAGAGTTGCTGGCAGAGGTCAGTGACTTGTTAGTGATAATAGAACATTTGTATTGAGTGATTTGTTATGAGCTGGGCAATGTTCTAAGAACTTTACTTTCATTATCTTATTTAATCCTGTGTTAACCTTATTTTATAGGTGCTGTTATCATCATCTTACAAATAAGGAAACTAAAGCTTAGAGTGGTTAGATAGTTTGTCCAATGTTGCACTTATCTAGGAAGTGATAGGAGCTGGCGTTTAAATGTAGTCATTCTTACTCCAGAGCCTCACTTTTGGCCACTGCGCTGTATAAATAACATGCCTTAAAAATTCAGAACTTTGAATAATTAGGGGATGCTGTGTGGAGAATACCTGTTTGAATTGACCTTTATAAGATGGTGGGGTTTCTGTATGTGGAGGGAAAATACACAGACACTGGGGGGTGAGGGGTGATACCAAGTTGTGTAATGTGAGGTCATTATCTAGCGGAATCTTTAAAAGTATACGGAAGGCTTTGTACATAGTAGATATGAACACAGCATTGGAGTCAATCCTTAATCCAAATCCTGACTGTACCATTTACTACGTGTGATGTGAGATCTTTGGCAAACCAAAGTCACTTAACCCTTCTAACCTAATCGTTAAATGGCCTGGCACATTTTAAGAACTGAATAAGTCATAGTTTTTGTTACAATAAAATTTTAAATTAATTTATTATAATCGATTTTATTCATGTTAATAAATTCACTGAATTTTCGGTGCTGTCTAGACTTAAAATCTAAATTGATTTATGGCACAAATTGCTTTTTGTGTTTGGGGCTTTTTGTGTTTGGGGCTGTGTGCTTTCATTAGTTCATCTTTCCCCAGAATGACCTGAATGACTTCCTGGTGGGTGGTGGGTAAACATATGGTCGTGGCTGCTTTCTTGGCTCAGGCACCTGTCGGTGATGATACTGTCTAGAAGAACACATTTCTGTACATTTACTGATTTTAGTTAGATAGCCAAGGGCAGACTAAGGAAGAGAGATTTAAGCCTGTTTTTTTTGTTGTTGTTGTTGGTGTTTCTCTGTGCTCTGTCCCCTTAGAATCCTTAGTAGCTTGAGTCTTAGGAAACTAATGGTGGGACACAATCACGTGCAGAGCCTTCCCATGCTGGTGGAGCACATCCCTCTGGAGGTGTTGGATGTCCAGCATAACCTGCTCACCAGGCTGCCAGATACTTTCTTCTCTAAGGCCTTAAAGTAAGTGCTATAGATTTTATTGAGAAGAGCAGGACCATGGGCTAAGCAAACTACCTGGACTTATCATCGGAGTGACCTTTGAAACTGTCTTTACAGAGTGTTTACTTCATAGTCCGGCTATGGGTGGACTTATTTGCAGTTTGTATGGGATAAAATATGACACTGTCTTAGGAGGCAGGAAGCTTCAACTCAAAAGGTGAAATAACCATCAAATACTTGGGAAGTTATGATGTTGTAAACAGGTTTCAAGAGCTTGGGAAGGTTCAGGCTTTCATCTCAGAAAAGGAATACAGTTATGATCTTCAAAGAGAGGCTGCAGTGTTCTGATACAGCTTCTTTGGGCACTTTTCAGCTTTTGCCTTAGGAGAAAAGGACATACCACTGAAGTTAATTTAGTTTTTGCTTTTAGCGTTGTCAAGCTATCATTGAGTTACACTCTTTATCTGCTGGCCTTTTTTACTCCCTGCTTTGAAAGCTGTGCATTTAAATGCAACATTGTTCCAAAAGTATTACTTGCTTTCTCACTGTAAATTAACAAATAGATAGTAAATCTTCCTATTTTAATACCCATAATCAGGTTTATTTAACACGTATGTCACCATTCAATGAAAACTAGTTTTTAATTACAGTCTTCTGCAATATGGAGAAGGCAGTATTGTCTTCAATTTAGACATGGAGAAAGCAGAGAGAAGCAGTAGTAATTAACATAAAGCTGCAGGACACATACAAAAAGCATTTAGCCCACAAGCGTCTGGCTTGTTCTTTGTTTGGCAGCTTTGTTGTTAAGTCGCTCAGTTGTGTTCGACTCTTTGTGACTCAGTGGACTGCAGCATGCCAGGCTTTTGGCAGCTTAGACATCTCTTAATGTATGATATATTTGGTTGGATTTTCCTAAAAATCTTTGGAAATTCTAAAAAATGCATGAAGGATATTTTCTCTTTGAAAAGTTTACGTGGAGTCTTAGGGCAGTAACATTTGTTAGTTAGCAAGTATTTGTTAGTAATGCATTACAGTGCATTTCATTCTGATGAAATCTGAATAAAATTAGTTTGCAGCCTTAGAATCTGCAGTAAGGAAGTTACCTAGAGGTTGTAGCAAACTGTCAATAATATTTACTAGTATCTCTGCACAGAGAATTTGGGACATACAAAGATATAGACATACAGTACCCTCAATAACTTAAAAGTTAACTGGACATACAGATCACACAGTTTGAGGATGACTTAGAACACATACGTTTAATAATATATTAGCTCTTTTTATTGAGCATGTTCTATATGTACCAAACTCTGTGCTAGGCAGATTTTTAAAATCATACCATGTTTTACTTATAAGATGGGTGAAGATTAAAGTGAATTATAAATATTCATTGTTGACAAAGGTATGAGCCAACACATTCTTTGTATACTTCTTGTGGGAGTATAGTTTGTTATAGCCTTTCTGGAGCTGATTTTGGCAATATATGTATAAAAATCTTAAGGATATATGTAGCCTTTGACTCCATAGCTTCTGCTTCTGGGAATGTAGCCTAAAGAAATAATTGGGTATGGGCTCAAATATATTCATTACAATGTTTGTAATAACAAACAATTGGAAACAGCCAATATGCCCATTATTAGGGGATTATAGAGGGATTGGCTAAATAAATGATTCTATTAAAATCAGACAAAAATTTTTCCGAAGGGTGACTTCACAGTTCACATACTTGTGAATGTGATACTCAGCAGCATCCTTTCAGTGGACATACAGACAGAAAAATATGAAGCTGGGTTAGAATCAAGCCAGTGCAGAAGCCCAGGAACTTAACTGGCATGAGTTGAGTAAAAGGAACTTTCACTGGATGGAGTCAAGCAGAGAAAACACCCTGGAGGAAATCATTTTGCCATCAGTGTGGGAGCATGGAAAGGCACTGTTACATACTAAGATGGCATGATGGTTTCCACATCAGAAGGAGGCAAATAGCCATAAAGGAAATGATGGTTTGCATGTGTCTGTCAGTCTCAGATACTTGAATGCATCCGCAAATAGTCTGGAGTCTCTGCCATCTGCCTGTGCTGGGGAGGAGAGTCTGAGTGCGCTACAGCTGCTCTACCTGACCGACAACCTCCTGACAGACCAGTGTGTGCCCGTCCTGGTGGGGCATCCGCACCTGCGCATCCTGCATCTTGCAAACAACCAGCTACAGATGTTTCCTGCAAGGTAAACAGATGCAGACTCTGATCGTTTCAGACATGTAATGTGATTCCACATTTGTCAGACTACATCACAGCTCTTTTACTGGGTGCTCTTGCTTTATGTTGACCAACTTACTGATCCCTTACTTGAATGAGAAGGTCTGTTTGTACCCTTTTGTAAATATCATTAACCACAGAGGTTGTGGTTAAAATGTGTTTAATTCTTAGTATATAGGTTGAATGTCTGCTATATGTCAAGACCTGTGTACATATTAGGGAGACAGTGGTAATTAAGTTGCAGTCTCTGTCCTCAGGGAACTTGCATTTAAATTAGGGAAATAGATGAGTATTAGTGTATTGGCAGTTGCAGTGCAGTGTAATCAATGCAGGGTGTTAAAGATATGCACAGGTAGCTGCACTGAAGAGTTGAATTTAGCCAGGCTACATTTATAAGACATAAGAGACATTTGGTGTTGTCAAAGTTTTAAACAGCATCAGTGGAGAAATAAGTATCTTCCAAGATACCTTTGATTAAAAAATTTTTTTAGAAAATTCGACGCCAGAAAAATCCATGAAGGTAGTTATTAAAAATCATGTTTTCAAAACCTAAACACATAGGAAAATGACATTTGATATAATTTGAGTGAAAAAATATATATATCATAAAATTATATCATATTTGATACAGTTTGAAAACTTTTTTTTCTAGATTTACAAATTTTCTAAGAAATGTGTTAAATACGAAAAACATAGAGATTGTAATTTTTTGTGATTGTTGATAAAATATTTGGAGTTTACGGAAGACTAGTGCAATAAACTTGATTGCTTCCTTGTAAGAACTTGAGCAATAGCTTTTAAAGTGAATGCAGAGTCTTAATTTCAAGATGTGATAGATCTCTTGAAATCCTAGCAGATTAGTTCATTTGACCTCAAGTATGTTCAGATAAAGTGAAAATGACACACCACTGATAAGTTATACGAGTTTGTGAAACTCTTGGGAAATACCAGATGTAATACTCTTGAAACTTATGAAGTCCCCCTAATTTGATGACACTTACTGTTGGACTAGAGTAATCTGAGTACAGATAATAAAACTAAATGGAATTGAGGAGCAGAATTTCAAGGAAAATGTGTATTCTAACCTGAATTGTAAGTCTGCTGTCATCTCCTGAACAGCATTATAATTGCATGGGCACAGTCCAAGGCTTCTGTTTCCTTTGGATTGTGTTCAGAATCCAGCACAGTTCTGGGTGCCCAGTAGGAGTCTGATTGAGATATAGATGCTGTGTCTCTGTGTAAGAGAAAAGCATGAGGTTTGGACATGGGAACACCTTAAATATATATGATTAAGTTTTTTAAAAGTTATAAAACAGTACATGTAATAAGCATCATGTTTTAATTAAAAAAAAATAGGGTTTCATGCATTAAAAAGGACAAAAATACTCACCACCAAATTGTCATCAGAGATTAACTCTGGTTAAAAGTTTTTTTGTTTTTGTTTTTTTAATGTTCAGCTTTATTTTTTAATATTTTTCAGTTAGTATTACTTTTGTAATAAGAAAACAATTTTAATTCACGGAACTTAATTATTACAAAGTATTTATGAGTAGTCTAGCAATGGAAATTATCTGTGATATATGAAAAGGGCAGATTTAATGTAAAATCTGCATATGAAAAATTTGACAGGAAATTCAGCAAAATGAAAATAACTTTTTCAGATTGGTGGTGGTACTGTGGATTTATCTTTCTTGTGTTCTAAACTTTCTGTTGTGGGCTTCCCTAGTAGACCAGTGGTAAAGAATCCACCTGCAATGCAGGAGATGTCTTTGTAGTGAATCTTGCCTCCAAAATCCCATGGAGAGAGGAACCTGGGAGAGTACAGGCCATGTGGTCACCAAGAGTCAGATGTGACTTAGCAAGTAAACAGCAATAACAAACTTTCTGTTACAGCAGTTTACTCTCTTTACAGTTTTTTAAAATCTAGATAAAGGTGTTAGGCCCTCTGAAGCTATTCTGCTTGCTGCATAGACAGCTTGGCTTACTCCAGTGGGACAGTGTGAATGGCCTGCATCACAGCCCATGGCACGGGGTTGTATCTGTGCTCAGCACTCGATAAATGTTTATGGAAGTTGGATTATGTTGTGAATAACTGTGGAAATTTAAAACTGAAAGGAATCTTAGTGATAATTTAGTACAACTTTTTATTTTATAGGCTATTGATGTCCACTGACACTTATTTGCCCAGTATTTTGCTACTAGTTAGTGGCAAAGCAGTACCATAATTAGTCGACTAGTTAACCCTGGGAAGATGTTCCTGCCCCAAAGATCCAGCAGCTGCAGGAGAGCCATGGGACACTCCAGCCCTCAAAGTGCACTGAGAGGGAGGCAGATGAGGCTGAGCCTCGGTGGGAACATTCGTTCACCGTGGTGGCTGTTCATTCTGGCCAGTTATCAGGCCATAGGCTGGTCCCGTCTATACTCTGGCTGCTGTAGAACTTGCTTGGCAGCTGCTTGTTTAAGTGCAGTATGGTATTTTGGTGTTTCTTTTTTAGCAAACTAAATAAATTGGAGCAGTTGGAGGAACTGAACCTAAGTGGTAACAAGCTTAAAACCATCCCCACGACCATTGCGAACTGCAAAAGGCTGCACACTCTGGTGGCCCACTCCAACCACATCAGTATTTTTCCGGAAATACTGCAGTTGCCTCAGATCCAGGTACTTCTGTGTGCGGTGTCTTGGGGTGATGGCTGGAGTGTGACTCCTAAGAAAGTGGCAGTTTGGGATCACAGTATATTTAATTGACTCCTGGGAAGAAATGAAATTCCCTTTGAGGATATAGTAGGAGTTTGAACATTAGGGAGTTAAGAATTAACTTAATCTCTCCCTTTTCCTCTCAGTTTGTAGACCTAAGTTGCAATGATTTGACCGAAATCCTGATTCCAGAGGCTCTCCCTGCTACTTTACAAGACCTGGACCTGACTGGAAATACAAATCTGGTTCTGGAACACAAGACACTGGACACATTTAGGTACGAAGACTTCTGAAGTTGAATCCACATGTGCTCTTACTCCCACCAGCCTTGTGTGGTTCTTCATAATGACTGTGCAGACCTCAGTTTATTAAAGCTGTAGGATGACTTAGATCATAAAGCCCCTCGGTTCTCTTCTTTAATCTAGTTTGTGTTGGGTGTTCTGCCCAGCAGTCAAGCTCAGCATCATGATTGCTGCTCAGCCACACCCCAGTACCTTTACAGGGCACGTGTGGGGCTGCGTCCCACAGGCCTGCAAACGCTATACTTGCCCAGCCTCACGACCGAAGAAAGAGCCCAGAGGCGGCAACAGAGACATCATGGTTTAAAGGGTAGGGGGTTCTTGCTTGTTTGAACCAAGGTCCTAGAGCAACAGTCCACCATGTGCAGCAGATGGCATGCAGGACATGGTAGTATCTATTGTGGAGGGGGAGGGCATCGGTTACTTGGGAAACAGCAGAGGAGCACGCCCCCTCACCGTGCCTTTGATAAACTGTCATAGTAGAGATAGTTCACATCTAAAGATCAGAAATGTCACTAGCTAGGGCTGGGTGAAGTGGTGGGAGGTCGGGGGGTGGGGTGGGGCGTTATGTATGAGTTTATGATTAGGCTCTCTGATTAAGAGGGAAGGTCAGTCAGGTGAATGGGGTGTGAATGAGGCAGGAGTTGGTCAAGCAGGGGAGGGACAGAGAGCAAGAGAATAGCTGTCTTGAGTGGTCTGATATACAGCAGGCGTAGGTAATTTAGGTGGCACAGATTATATTGTGTTACATCTAAGACAGTGCAGAATCACTCATTGTACCAAGACTTCACTGTATCAAAATACTTCGACTAAGTAGACAGTTGGTTGAAACTTAAACACCTTTGTTGTGCTTAGTTTTTCGTTGAAATGAATGGCATCAGTTATTACAAAATTGGCCCATGTCTTCCTCCTACCCCTTTTCTTTCTTTCTCTTCCTTCTTGGTCTGTGGGTCAGCATACTACTTTCTTAGGTTTCTCTGGAAATGAGTCTTAGTATGTCAACAGATTATTTTGTAAAAACAAATTATTGTTGGGATAGCTTTTGTAAAATAGAGACACATGTAAGGTTTAAACCTCCCTTCCTCCACTTCCCACAGCCATATCACCACCCTGAAAATTGATCAGAAACCTTTGCCAACAACTGATTCTACAGTTACATCAACCTTCTGGAGCCACGGACTGGCTGAGATGGCAGGGCAGAGAAACAAGTGAGTATCATGGCTGTGAAGACTGAGAAAATTCTCCTGACATCTGGGAACAGATCTAATGCTGAAAGCTAGGCCATGTTGTTCTCCTGGTTTGACATAAACAAATCACAGAATGCCAACATCAGATAAGATTCCTCTGAGACCGTGATCCAGTAAGACGCAACAAGATGAATGTGCACAGAACACTCACACCCCACCTTATGACTAAGATGGGTGACTGCTCCTTTCTTTATCAGTCACAGCTTTGTCCCCATGCTATCCCTCTTTCCCTGTAGTTAAGATTTGTTGAGATTATCAACCATAGAATATCCCTGCTTTCTTTTTATTTTTTAAAAACATTTTTTTCTCTCTTATTAATGTGTATATTTTAAAATTTTTGGCTGCATCGTGAGGCAGGTCCCTGACTGGGGATCAAACCTCTATGCCCTGCCTTAGAAGGCAGATTCTTAACCATTGGACCAATAGGGAAGTCCCAGAAAAGCCCTGATTTCTGACAGCACCCAATCTAGTATGACCCCCCACTTTGTTAGACTTTTCCCAAAGTGATCCAGCCAAACCCAAATCCTGTACTAGGTTTTTTCCAGTACCCACTAATATACTCCTGAGTCCCATGGTGTGCTTTCTTTCATTGTTACATGATAAACCCAACTTGTTGAGCTACAAGTGTGTTGTACACTTTGGCGAAGTCTTTGACTGAAGGGTGTTGATAGTAGGCCTTTATCACTACTGAGAAAAAACATCTTTCTAGCCTTCTGTAACATTGCAAAGTAATACGTACTGCTCCTGAATGTCGCTGACTTCCCCCGTTTCTTATGACATCAACTCTTTTAAGATGTTGCTTACTTATCTTCTATAACACTTTTTTCATGTATAGATGGGGATTTACCACTATTCTTCTCCACTCTCAATCAGCACTTACTTTTTAATTTTTTGGCTGCACCACATGGCATACAAGATCTTAGTTCCCTGACCAGGGATCAAACCTGTGTTCCCTCTGTTGGAAGTGAGTCCTAACCACAGGACTGCTAGGGAATTCGTCTCCTTCTTTAAAGAAGGCTCCCTGGAGAAGAATGTTTTGCCACTGACTTTGTCTGTCTTCTCTTTCTGTGAAAGGTTATGTGTATCTGCTCTAGCTGTGGATAACTTCGCAGAGGGGGTGGGAGCTGTGTATGGCATGTTTGATGGTGACCGGAACGAGGAGCTCCCTCGCCTCCTCCAGTGTACCATGGCGGATGTGCTTTTGGAAGAGGTGCAGCAGTCAACAAATGACACAGTTTTCATGGCTAACACCTTCTTGGTATCTCACAGGTAAGCAGGTGGGTTGAATAATTTCTAACCTGGCCCTGCCTAAGCCAGAAGGTCTGGGTCTCAGTTGTAAGTTCAGCAACACGGTGAGATCTTGCTTTTTGTCTCATGACCGTTCCGTCCATCAGCAGGAACATGGGGACTGTGGCTCTTTAAAGAGCCATCTGTTGTCTCTCTTGAAACCAAAGGCTGCTGAGAATCTGGAAAGCCCAGACATCATGTGTAATAGGTTGTGTATGTGTTATGTACATTTGGGGGAAGGAAGGTGGTAAGCCTCCATAAGATTCTCCTAAGGGTCAGTGACCTACAGAGGTTAAGCGCTCATCAGATTCTTGTTTTTAAAATACTTATTATTGGGGATTTACCAACTAATCTCCTCGCTGAAGCCTAAGCCACTTAAAGGCAAACACCCTATAAAGCAAACTGTTGAAAATCTCTTCGCAGCTAATAGAGCATCTTGCTCAGCAGATGGGCTGCTTAAAGCATTCGTACAGCTGAGAGAGTGACCCTTTGCATAATCAAGCTTCAGATGGAACAGCCTGGAGCCCAAGCTGGTTTCACCTGTCATTATAACACAAAGATGTTGGGAAAGAAGTCTATTTTTTAGTAATAGAATTGAGCCTAGGGACTTGGCAAAACAAAGCATTTGGGAAAGGAAACTCAATTTATGAAGCACTTCCCAAGAGCTGGGCACCATTCCAAGCATTTTCCATACTGTATCTTTAATTTTCTAAGTAAGCCAAGGAGGTGAGTATTTTAATCGGAAAAATTTCTTGGAGCATTAACTTGCTGAAGATCTATAGCCCATAAATGGGAGAGCTGGAATCTGAAACCAGATCTCTCTGATAGCATCTGCTCTGTGCTTAGCATTGTGTACCAAGTGCTGAGGGTTGGGGGTAGACACCATGTGCATGGGAGAAATACAAGGAAAACTATGGGCCTTACTTCTGGGAACTTACAACCCAAGTAAGTGGTTCAGAGTGTTGTTCTAGGACCAGAAGCCTCAGCATCACCAGAAACTTGTTAGAATGTAGATTACTGGGCCAACCCCTTCCCCACTGAATCAGAAACTTAACAAGCACTTTAGGTGATTCTGATTTGCTTCAGTTGGAAGCCACTGAGTTAGGTTATTGCAGATTATGATCAATCAGAAGCAGCAGAGAAAGCTGCCTCTTCATTGTCTTCTCTGCCCCCACCCTTTTGGTAAAATTTCTTAGCTAAGAGTAGAAGGCAAAGCTGTCTTCACCATCATCACTTATATCAAGATGGATGAGGGTGAGGTGGGTTCATGGTCAACAGATAAACGAGGAAGCCTTGGATATGAAGGACCGCTGCTTTCTTCTAAAACTGCAGTGTTTTCATTTTCTTTTCTTTCTAAACAGGAAATTAGGAATGGCTGGCCAGAAACTAGGCTGTTCGGCTCTCCTTTGTTATATCCGTCCTGACACTGCCGATCCAATGAGTAGCTTTAGCTTGACTGTGGCTAATGTTGGCACATGCCAAGCAGTCCTGTGTCGAGGTGGGAAGCCAGTGCCACTCTCTAAAGTCTTCAGCCTGGAACAGGACCCCGAGGAGGCTCAGAGGGTGAAGGACCAAAAAGCCATCATAACAGAGGTAAATCTTACTTTCCACCAGTCACTTCTACTCAAATCTAATGAATGCTATTCTACATAGGACAATGAAAGTCCGTTTTCTTCCTATCAAGCCTTGTAAATTGTATTCAATCCAGATAATAGTAATGGAAGAAAATCTAATGAGCAGCTAATGACTAGCAGAAAGAAAGCAAATTAATTAGAGATGAAAAAGCCTAAATTGTGGTCTTTAGACTTATACCTAGCATGTAAAATAAATGTAAATGTCCCCCTTGGTTAATTTTCATCTGGTTTCTTATTCCAAAACACAAGAAGAAAAAGTTTTATGGTTTGACATCCCTCTTCTGAAGTGCAAAGTTTCACAATAGTTTTCCTGTTTATGGCTGAATATATTCTGGTATTTTTTTTTTTTTTTTTTAAATAAAGAAGCATCAATGTTTCTAGTATTTCATAACTTTTCTCCTTTTTCAGAAGTTAGCATAGGACTTTTGCTTTCAAAGAGACTTTAGCAATTACATGTAAACACTGTTTATTGCAAAGCAGAATTTTGTTCAGATCTTCTGCCCATAGTTAATTGTTTATTTCTTGACTGTTGAGTTCTTTGTATATTTTGGATACAAGTCCTTATCAGAAATGTTCTGCAAATATTTTCCCAGTCTGTGGCTTGTCTTTCATTCTTTTAGTAGTGTCTTTTGCAGAGCAGAAGTTTTTAGTTTAATGAAGTCCCACTTACTGATTTTCTTCCTCATGGATCATGCTTTTGGTGGTGTATTTAAAAACTCATTGCCAAACCCAAAGTCACCTAGATTTTCTTCTGTGTTGTCTTCTATAAGTTTTGTTTTTTACGTTTAGATCTGTGATTTATTTTGAATTAATTTTTTTTTTAGTAGGTGTAGGTTGCTCCATGTCCAGATTTTTTTTTTTTTTTTTGACATGTAAATGTCCAATTGTCCCAGCAGCAAATTGCCTTAACTCCTTTGTCAAAGATCCGTGGACTCTTATATGTGTGGGTCCACTTCTGGGCTGTCTTGTCAGAATTTTACAATAAGGACTGTCTAAAAGATTCCATCCAAGGAAGCACAAAACCAAAAATTATCCTTCTAATGTGGCTGATGCTATGAAGATTCTGGAACTATGATCTTAGGAGGGTCTTTCAGTCAGAACAAATGAAGATAAAAGATAACTTTTTATTTGATTAGTCTATTACAGAATTTAATTAATGCTGTTTAGAGTTTTCTTAGGGAGTCCTAGACAAGTAGGAAACATTTTTATAATTATAGACATGTGTTGTTTGCTTATTACTTGCTTAAGCATTGTACTTTCATTGTTTTGTTTAACTTTCACAATAACCCCCATGAGAGAAGTGCTTTTATTTTTATTTCACAGATGAGGAAAATAAAATTACAAATTTTGAGTTTGTGACAAGTTCTGATAAATAAGAGTGCCAGAATTTTCACCCAAAGAATGACTGCAGCTATGAAATTAATATATTGAGGGCTTTGGTGGTTCTGTTTGTTTTTTTCTTAAGAAATCAGTATGAAGCATCTGGCAGATGAACATGCCCAGCCTGCAACCAGGGTTATTCCTTTTCCTCTGAGTTTAGAATTATATCATTCTTGATATAACCCTTAGAGAGTAAGTAAATTATGCCATGGATTTCAGACTTTCCTTTTCTAGGCCAAATAACTTCAGGGATTATTCAATACTTTAGCTATAAGGATTCTCTTACCCAGTTAATATCTTCAGTCCCAACTTTTAGTCCCAACTCTGCCTCTGTTATTTATTTATTTGGGGGAGCTGGGTCTTGGTTGCAGCATATGGGATCCAATTGCCTGACCAGGGATCGAATCTGGGCCCCCTGAATTGGTAGTGTGGAGTCTTAACAACCACTGAACCACCAGAAAAGTCCCCCAACTCTGCTTTTAAATGAGAAGTCATTTTTAGTGACCCATCTGAGTTTTGGCCCCTGCCAGAATACTAGTGATGGAGAATTAATGATAGTTTTGCTTATTATTTTCCTAACAGATGTTTCTCTATTTAAGAACATGCTGAGGCCTATACTTAATGTTAGAGCAAATATCTTTTGAAATGGAGGTGCCTTTTAGCCACTTGATTTTCATTGGTTTTAACTCAGGCCTCTCAACTATTTGTGGTATAATATCTATTTGATATTCTGTCCTTTTGGAATTCTATACATTTATTTTTTGTAAATCCACTTAAAATTACACAGACCCTAGGAGAAAACCATATAACATGTCAGTTCTATTCTGTTGTAGAGCCCTAAGTGTTGTGATCTAGAAAGACATAAAATTGTGTGTCACTGTTGCTTGTTTTCTCAAAGTTTGCATTCTGCTTATCTCTAGGACAACAAAGTGAATGGGGTGACTTGCTGTACCCGGCTGCTGGGCTGTACATACCTCTACCCTTGGATCCTCCCCAAGCCCCACATATCTTCCACTTCACTCACCATTCAGGATGAGCTGCTGATTCTGGGAAACAAAGCATTGTGGGAACACTTGTCATATACAGAAGCGGTCAATGCAGTACGCCATGTGCAAGACCCATTAGCAGCTGCCAAGAAGCTGTGCACATTAGCCCAGAGCTATGGTTGTCAGGACAATGTGGGGGCGATGGTGGTTTATTTGAACATTGGTGAGGAAGGCTGTACTTGTGAAATGAATGGGCTCACGCTGCCAGGTCCTATGGGATTTGCTTCAACCGCCATCATCAAGGACCCGCCCAAGTCGACCACTCCTTCCTCCAGCAGTGGTATTGCCTCTGAGTTCAGTAGCGAGATGTCCACTTCAGAGGTGAGCAGTGAGGTGGGGTCCACTGCTTCTGATGAACATAACACTGTTGGCCTGGATGCTGGCTTACTTCCGAGGCCAGAGAGGCGCTGCAGTCTCCACCCAGCGCCTACCTCGGGGGTGTTCCAGCGCCAGCCCTCTTGTGCGACTTTCTCAAGTAACCAGTCTGACAATGGCCTGGACAGTGATGATGACCAGCCAGTAGAAGGGGTCATAACAAACGGCAGCAAGGTGGAAGTAGAAGTAGACATCCACTGCTGTCGGGGGAGGGATCTTGAGAACTCACCCACCCTTCCAGAGAATTCTCCTGCCCCATGCCCTGAGGACCGTGCTAGAGGATCGTTATTTGGGATCCGAAGACAGAACAGTGTGAACAGTGGCATCCTCCTGCCAGTGAGCAAAGACCGGACGGAGTTACAGAAGTCTCCCTCCACTTCCTGTCTCTATGGAAAGAAGCTCTCCAATGGCTCTATCGTACCCTTGGAAGACAGCCTGAACCTCATCGAGGTGGCCACCGAAGCTCCCAAGAAGAAGACCGGCTATTTTGCTGCCCCAACTCAGCTGGAGCCAGAGGACCAGTTTGTCATACCTCATGACCTAGAAGAAGAAGTGAAGGAACAAATGAAACACCATCAGGAAAGCAGGCACGAGCCTGAGCCCAGTGAAGAGGATCGGACCGAGCTCTCGGAGGAGTTTGACACGGCGCTGTAGTCCTCCCCCAGGGCCATGGCATCGCACGAGGCTGCATGGTGTAGGGTAGGGGACCCTGCCGGGGGCGTTCTGCCTCTGTATCTCTAAACCACAGATGAGAGGAGGCTGGATCTCGGGGGTGGAAATGATGAGAGCTGTCAGGGTCTTGCTCTGGATAAGCTAGTCAACACCATCAGTGTTAAGTTTCACATTTAACCTGCATCGGGATCCCCAGGATTCCTGGGGAGCAGGCAGGCATTACTCTGTATCAGTCCTACCACCTGCCATTAACCCTTTTTCTCCTAGGATGATTTTGAGGATTTGCCTGCCTGGGCAGGAAAGGGACTATTTCTGTGGAGGAAGATTGGTTCCTTTTACTGATTGCTGCTGATGGATCTCTGCGACAGAGAAATCACCTTCTATCTCAACCTGATGGGATGTGATGTGACTAGTCACATGGCTTTTCCTTCTTCTCTACGAGAATACAGCCTATTGAAATGATGTTTATTGGAAATGTAGAACCAATCAAACAGATAACTTATGTTTGTGATGTAATGAGAGCACTTTCCACTGACTGTGAACTTTTTATTTTCAAATCTGCACTCGAGCCAATCTTCTTAGAGGCAGCCCAGATCCTTTGTCCATAGGCAGGATGATCATCAGGAGTTGGGGCCAGCTGTGAGGGTACAAGGAAGGGCCCTGGGAAATGGACTGTTGGATGTCAGACTGTGAAAGTTCCTGAGAAACAGGGGAGTAGTTCTTTGGGGGATGAGGATGGGGAAGGGGTGAGGAACAAGACTACTTCCCCCAAATCACAAAAAGAGAATAACTGCTAGGAATCTCCCAGAAGATCACAAAAGAAGCATTTGAAGATTGGCGTCTTTCCATAACATGAGGTGGAGATGGCAGTCAGCCTCCTAGTACGCAGGGCCAAGGCTGCTGCTGCTGCTCACATCCAAGTAACCTTGAGTTACAGCAGATGACTCTGAACAGACTGAGGCTGAATGAGAACAGATGGATGGATGGAGCTTCCAGTTAGACAAGTTCCTTCTCTCATTCTCGAGCCGAGAGATGGTTTTCTAAAATGTTAGGAGTGAGCTAAAGTTTCGACTTTTAATGGTTAACACAGTCTTCTGAAAATGCTTATCCACCTCACATGGCTTCACAGTACTGGGCTCAATTTCTGAAAAACTTGATTGAGAAGTTACAGAAAACCTAGTTTACTGATTTTTTTCTTTCTTGCACATCCCATGTAAGCCTAGCAAAATGCAGTTCCTTCTGTATTTCTATTCCATTGCCTTTTCCTACAAAGTTTTGACATTGCTTAATTTTACCCAGTGGGGAATGTGCTTTGAATTTTTAGAATACTTTGACAATTAAAAAGAAAATAGAGTAGAATCATTTTTAATCTGTTTCATGAGAAATGAAATGTTAAAGATAGGGTTGATCTATACATACATATGTTGGGGGTTTTATTTTGCTGAAGCAGTAGTAGAAAATCAGATGACCTCTCCACAGATAGTTAGGTATCCTCATCTTCCCAGAGGCCTGTACCCATGTGTATGTGTCAGTGGGGTACACATTCTTGGAAGATTCCATACCAATGAGTGTCTGGTGTTCAGCCTCTCTAAGATATGAATTTGAGTCCCCAAATTGTCAGGAACACTTTTTTCTGTGTCAAACTACTTGTTAGCTACTGAAAAATTTTAGAACTCAGGTCTTGATTTGAAGTGGGGATCATAATATGGTTCATACAAAGTTCAGGTGCTGTAAGAAAGATGGGAACAATAGTGTGTTGCCGCCTTATTTTTTTATGGGAAAATGGGGGGGGGGGAATGGAGGAAAAATGAAGGGAAAACCCAAGATGATAGTGATGAAAATTATTTTGGGACGAAACCACTTTAATAGTCTTTTTAAAATTGTCCTTTATCTGTGAACTGTTTCTTGTCTGTTTCCCACCCTACGCTAATTGGAACCACTACAAAGCCCAGTTATGAAACTGCTTAACTGAAAGTAAATGTATTTACTTTTTAATCAGAAGAACCTTCAAATTCCCAGTGTTCTTTTATGTTTATGTCCCAGGTTTATGTTCAAGAAACATTAGGTTGTATGAAAATCTTTAATATAGGCTGTACCAAAACTGATTGCTCTTTTTTTTGTAACTTCCTTTGATTCATTTCCCTCTATAATTACTATTTGTTAAAACAGAGGATGAAAAGGCCATAGCCCATCACCAAAAATACACAGAACCCTCTTGACCTATGAAGTCATTTACACTTCCTGTGTGAGCTGATTAGGTTGTCAGGTGGTGAAAGCCAGTAATCTGTCTCCAGGTGAATGTAATCTGCTTCCTAGGACTTGACCCAGAGGACGCGTTCCCCAGGTGGGCAGAGGCCCATTGATCTCTAGCCCAGAGGTCCCGGCCTCTGCACGATTCTCAGGTCACTGTGTGTACCTCCCATTTAATGGAGTTGTTTAAGACAGTTTCTGAAAGAATGTCACTCCTGCTTATGGGAGCAGTCCAGGAGTCCCATGGAAGAAAGAAAACTATACAAGTCTTGGCAGCCATGGTATTTTTATTCTTATCCAGATGGATTGGAAATGTATTTGAAAATTTGAATGCTAGTATGTCATAAAGCTACCGTGATACCATAGAGTCATTGAATTATTACTCCTCATTCAAGTGAGGGCTTTCTTATACTACTGTAGAGTGTATGTGCAATAAGTTGATGAATTCATTTTCCTGATGTATAGAAGAGCCAACACGAGCAGCTTGGTAATCATTGGGTGCTATTTTAATTGTTTGTAGCGAGTGCTATTTTCTAGGAGATGGAGCCAGTTAGGTTTGGCTGATCTGCTGAATATCAGATGATGCCATTCTTTCCATGTCAGCTCTCAGCAAAAGCAGGTACTTGGAAGCCACAGGCTCCCCTCCTCTGTCTACTCAATAATCACTAATGAAGAGACCTCCACAAGGGAGCACTTGGTGGTTGTCGATAAACATACCAATTATTAAATAGTCTCCAAGCCATTCAGTGATGTCTGCAGCATCACTCTAGAACTGTCTTGTGTCACTTTTTTACTTCCCTCTGGGCGGGGCCTCTCAGACTCCCTCGTTCATGGAGGCAAGTTAATCTTTCTCTCCAGTTAGTGACTTTTGCCCCATAGTTGGGTAAGCACTTCCTACACTGAGAAAAGCAGCTACAGTAAATCCTGCTCTGTTTCCCTCATTTGGTGATGATTCAATCACACATAAGCTCCTTGTATTCTAAATTTCATGCACTTCTCCCAGACGCTATAGGGTTTTCTCTCACTGTTGCCAGTGGAGGTCATCCAGACAGTGAGTTCATATCTTATGGTTTTGTGCAATCATTGTCGTATTGTAGTCCTAAGACTCATTATAGTGTATTTTTGATATTTTTGAAATGTGTTAAATTTTTTAATTCAATAATATGAGCCAGAGCATGTTGCAGCAAATCTATTGTTTGTATAAAAATAAAATAAAAATAATGATAACAATAATAATAAATAAAATAAAATGGAATATCTTTTTCATGGCTTTGTTTTAAAATGGAATACCTGTTATTTTATAAGTACTTTATTTTAGCATGAATCTGTAATTTTCTCTAACTTGTATGTAGAATTAGTTTCTTAACCAAAAGCACCTTTAGGATTTTTCTGCTTTTTCTTGCTTTAGGGGAAGATAAGTGAAATGACATTCCATGAAAAATATGAAGCTATGAGTTAAGGCAAGAATAAATATTTTTGATCACCTTTTAAGCTGAAATAGCAATAAAGATTTTTTACATTAAGAAATATTATATTCTGACTTGGTTTATATGTTTAAATAAATCCCAAAGACAAGAAGCATGGTCCTTATTTCCATGCACATTATAGCTGATGAAAGGGAACTCAACTTGTGAATAATCTACAGCTCCTCTTAAACCACAGAGCTACCAAGGATACAGAGGAACTAAATGGATAATCTGGCCATCATGTCTGCCCTGATGGCTTGGGTGTTAGACTTTAAGGCAGTGGGTTTTGGCTCACAATACCTCTGATCTAGGTAAGCCTCTAAATTGTTCCCCTCCCCTCTCCCTATTGGTTGTCTTCCATAATTTCTGGATGTCCAAGCAAGATTAGCTACCTTTCACTCCAAATAAAGGCCCAGTTGAAATAATTCTGCAAGTTTCCTCCTCATTTAGCAGAATTTAGCACACCTCCAATGTGCCGGGCCCAATGCCGCCATCTGCTTTCATACCTTGGTTCCATCACACACACACACACACACCTATTCCAGGGTGGCATAACTACTTCATGTGACATAATTTCCCTGGTAGATCAAACACCACAAGAGCATGAGTCACTCGGAACATGTTTCAGTGTGTGATCCACTGGGTTCGCGTTTTGCCTCTGCTACTTAAAAAAGATTTAACTTTAGGCAAGTTCATGTCCCCAAGGCACAGTTTTTTTCTTGATTGTTAAATGGAAATGAGTCTCATCAGCTGTGAGTTAAAATGAGATGATGACAACAAATACTTCCTTAGCTCAGCACTGGACCTGGCACTGAGCAGTCGTGACAATGAAACATTGACCACTGGGTGAGCCACTTAGCCTTCCTGAACCTTTGTCTCATATGTGAAATATAAGAAAGCTTGACCAGCTGATCTGACAAGTGGTAGTAAGGCAAGTTTGGCTAAGGCATTTTGAATGTGATGGAGTGTTACTGTAGTGATGAAAGGAGCTGAATCGGAGCAGTACTGTATAGCTGGGTCTGGGCACCATATGGGGGTCACAGAGGCTGAAGTCCTCATTTTCCCAAGCCCCTGACCCAGACATGGCAAAGATCTACTTAGGACACACTTCAGTTTGGAAGTTTTGGCGGGTTTCGGGGGTGGGGGGTGTTTAGGGTAGGAAATGGGTCATTTGATTTTTGCTGCTGTTAAACCTGTCTTACCACTCAGTGAAAACTGCCTTGGGCTAAGGTGGTGGAGGGGAAGCTTTGTTTTGTGGCATAGGTGTTTGTATTTTAAGGTCACAGTGTGGACTTCTAGTTGATTGTTTTTCTCCAAGCTTTATTTTTGTAAAAGTATCATCTAGATTCCACAACACCCCCCCCCCCCCCCCCCGTTTCTGTACGAGATTTAGTTTTGATCCTTTGCCTGGGATAGGTTTTATAAGAATTCATTCGAATCAGTTCTAATGAGATGGGTGAAACTGGAGCCCATTATACAGAGCGAAGTAAGCCAGAAAGATAAAGACCATTACAGTATACTAACACATATATATGGAATTTAGAAAGATGGTAACGATAACCCTATATGCAAAAAAAGAAAAAGAGACTCAGATGTATAGAACAGACTTGTGGACTCTGTGGGAGAAGGCGAGGGTGGGATGTTTCAAGAGAACAGCGTCGAAACATGTATATCTAGGGTGAAACAGATCACCAGCCCAGGTTGGATGCATGAGACAAGTGCTCAGGCCTGGTGCACTGGGAAGACCCAGAGGGATGGGGTGGAGAGGGAGGTGGGAGGGGGGACCGGGATGGGGAATACATGTAAATCCATGGCTAATTCATTTCAATGTATGACAAAAACCACTGCAATGTTGTAAAGTAATTAGCCTCCAACTAGTAAAAATAAATGGAAAAAAATAATAATAAAGGAATAGATCCAAAAAAAAAAAAAAAGAATTAAGAGTAGGAAGGATTTAAGAGGTGAGAGGAAAGACGGTATATTCCAGGGAGAAGAGCTAGCAAACCTGCAGGAGTAAAAATGTCCAACCCATGTCAGAGGAGATGATGTTGACAGTTGTTTTCATAGTCATTTTGGCATATGTTGAAACAGGCTTATGTTGGCTGATTTCTTACTAACTGTACATAGACAGTCTTTTATGTCAAACTTTCTGTTTTTAGAAATGTACTAAAAACTCAGTTTGAATTTATTTAATCTCATGAAAGTAAGTTTTGAAAAAGATGGCAACTAGAAAATATAGAATAACATTTCTAGTTGCATCCCACATGAACTGAATATCTGAGACTAGTTGTAATGTATAAGAACAGCTATAAAATTTTAGATTAAAATTATCAAAAGAACTTTATTTTTGAGATTCTGTGTTAATGAACTGTTATATTATGGAAACAATTCAGGATCATGAAGAATTTATAATTAACCTTTGAAGGCCTAATCTGTAGGGCCCTGGAAGGGATGCAGAAATAAAGACGCCTCCAATATACCTGAATATTCCTAGAAAATCATCTGCTTTATCTTTGCATTCAGCTGAATAACATGTTTTAAGAGGTTTATGAATTATTTCTCACTGTTCGGAGGCCTCGTATTTTAGGAAATGATAAAATCTTCCAGGAAAGTGAATTCCAATCAAAGAAACTAACCTGGAAAGCTGGCAAAAACCATCTTCTCTGAGCCCTAATGCAGGAATCCTGAGGAGGACCATGCATGCTAAAAGCACCTGCCTTCAGGTATCAGGGATCCAGCCCCCCATCTCTAATGGAGGAAGGCTTCTTGGGGTCATGGCACACTATCTTATTTAGTGGGCAGGAGAGTTTTCTTCTAGGAGAGAGTCAGAATGGAATTACTCCTTTGAAATCTAACCACACAAAGGCTTTAAAATCACTCCCCTGGGATCATATACAGGGGGAAATGGCATGTTTTTCTTAATGACTTTAGCTCAGACAGGCAAGATATTTCTACTGCCTGCTACTGCCTGATGTGTTATTTTCATCTTTCAGAATTCCTCTGGCTATTATTTAAGCTATTATTATTACCTTACCATTTGGCAAGAGAGCCAAACCATAAGCATATATGCAGACTTCCCAATGTTGCTCTTAGTAGCAAAGGTGGAGTATTTTTTGCACACTCTCAGCCAACAGACACGGATAGAAAAATGAGATGATCATCTAGCTTTGTATTGGTTCCAGAGGGAGCATTTATAAAATCAAGTATGTGAAAACCACATATGTGTAAAGTGCGATTTTAATGGACCCATCTTTTTGAGAGAAACAAGGTGGGTTGAAACTTTAGGTTCCAGTGGATCTCAGAGTACTCCAGACCACACGTATTCTGGTGCATCATTGTAATTTCTCTGCTGTTCCTGGCTGTCCTTGTACTGCTTCTGTTCTCGGTAGCTCCGCAGGGCCAGCACCACGCTGGCGCCATACATCACCACCAGCAGACAAGCAAAGGTGGCAGCCGCTCCATCAGTGCCTGCCAGCTGGCAGTTCATCCAGGTGAGACCCTTGCGGGCATAGACCCTCTCTCTTGTCCTGCAAGTGTCTGTGGTATTGATCTGCAAGGCTGCGTGGAGGTAAATGCCGATGCCCACGCAGTAGCCCACTGCCGCCAGGAGGCTGAAGGCAGCCTCCAGGAGGAGCCACTTCCCCGGCAGTTTGTATAGACTTTTGGCTCCTTGGAGTAAAACGCCCAAGGTGAGGACACCGAGCCCCAGAGAAACAGCCACGCCACCGTATATCAGGGGTGCCCGGAGGATTGTGTACTGCTGGTCCAGCTGCCGAACCTGCTCCAGCTCGGTGCCCTCAAATGGTGAGTAATAGTTGTTCCCAAAGCCGCCGCCGCTGGCAAAGCTGGCGCTGAATCCGGCCAGGACAAAGTAGGAGGCCACGATACACATGAGAACCATCCCATTCAGTATCACCTCCACTATCTGTATCACACCTAGGAGGAGAGAGATGGGGGATTTAACACTGATCACTCACCCAGGAAAGCTCCCTAGGTCAGACAAGAGAAATAACATCGGTGAGCTGATTGTGAGGACACAGATTCAACCTTAACATCCTTGGTTTTGGGGGGTTTTTTGGTTCATCTAGGGGGGGCTTTCTTTTTGGCCACACCATGTGGCATGTGGAACTTCCCTGACTAGAGATCAAATCCATGCCTCCTGGAGTGGGAGCACGGAGTCTTAACCACTGGACCTCCAGGGAAGTCCCCGTTTTTTATTTTGTTTTAGTACTAGTGTTTGAAAAATCAAAATGCCATGTGGAAAAGGTTTTGGCAAACTACACATACACTTACCATGTGACTTTGCAACCTGTACGCCTGAGCATTCATCCTAAAGAAATGAAAACCTGGGTCTACACAAAAACATGTACATGGATGTCAGAGCAAACCCAAATGCCCTCCAATGGACGAACGGTTAAACAATCTGGTACAGCCCTCCCAAGGGGAAGCTCTACTCAGAGGTGAAAAGGAATGAGCAGTTGATGAACAGCTCGGATGGATCTCAAGGGATTCATAATGAGTGAAAAAAAAGAAAAAGCCAGACTCCAAAGGTTACATACTGTATGATTCCATTTATACAACAGTCTCGAAATGAGAACAGATTCATGGTTGTCGGAGGATGGGGATGAGTGGGGGTGGGGGAGGGGAGGGGTGAGACTGTGAGTGGGGGAGCCCGAGAGATGCCTGATGATGGGGTAGTTCTGCAACTGACTATGGTGGTGCTCACACGAATCTACACGTGCGATAAAACCTCAGAGACCTACACTCACACAGATTCGAGCGCATATAAAACTGGTCAATCCTAAACAAAAGCTCTGAAGATTGGCAGTTTCCTGGTTGTGATACTGTACTATAGTCACCATTGGTGTAAACCGAGTTCATGCCATGCAGTGCAGTACAGTGCTGTATTAGCAGTGTTCCGTGAATGTATAATTATTTCAAATTTTAAGGTTTTAAAATAATGGAAATGACATAAAAGGTTGTAAACTGAAAAAAATTCACCCATGTCACTGTCCACCCTGTTCTCTACCCCTAACCACTTTCAGTGTTTTCTAATACAACTTTCCAGTGTTCCTTTATGCAAATAAAAATAGTCAAGTCTGAATTTCACCTTCCCCTGCTAGTGTAGGGAGCACACCACACACACCACTCTGCATCGTGCTGTTTTCATTGACTCTTCCTACAGATGTTCTCAGATCAGCTCCGACAGGGTCCCCGCTCCCTGTGACGTGGCCTCCAACCCCACCTGTGGGTGGACCAGTCTACTCAACCAGGATCCTAATGCTGGATACCCAGCCTGCTACCTGGGGGATTCTTACAAGTTTAAGGAACCCCCAAATGCCATGAGGCAGGAGACACCAGCAGGTGAATGGAGATAAATGTCATCTTGTCCAGAGTCACCCTTCACCCTTTATTTCTCCCTGAAGGGGACCTCAGCCTCTCAGGAGGCATATTCCTGGGAGAAGGTCTCCTGTGGTTCCCTCAGGTGTCAGGGATGAAAACAAAGAGGAAAGCATAAGAACTTAGAGCGGGAGCACAGGCTCACTCCTATGCTCTTTGCTGCCTTGTGACTATGCCCAAGTCATTGGCTCTAAGCCTCAGATACCTCATCTGACAAATAAATGAAGGTAATGCCTTCTTTTGTCTGTCTTATCCCACAGGGCTGGGGTGAGGCCCAGATGAAAGCAAGTATGTGAAAATACCTGGAAAATCATAAAATGTTATGCAAGTGGATGGTGATGCTACCTAGTAACATTTATAAAATGAAAGAGGATTAGTAAGAGATTTAGGAAATGGGACAAGTTTACGAAAAGCATGAATTCCCAGAAATCAGAAAAACTCTCTAGTACACAAAGGGGTACCACAATGTTTATAAACTGAGCAGCTAAAGACCAGAGTATCTAAGGTACTTAGGCAACAGTTACTGGGCTTGCTGATTCCATCTCCTGCTGGGTCCACACAAATTCCAAGGAGGTCCACAGGACAGAAGTAGCAATAATTAAGGACTCTGAGATTGAGAAGCTACATTCCTCTAATTTAAATCTGAAAATAACATCAGACCAGAGCTGCATACTCCTATCCCAGGCACCATAAACTACCGGCTACTCTCTCCCTACAGCGAATGGACCCAGAGATCATTCTAATTCATGGGGAGTAGCTATCTCCCCTAACCATTTAGGGGAGATAACCATTTAGGTTAGATAACCCTAACCTTTCTCTGCCTTGGTTTCCCTTCTGCATGCAATTAATCTCTCACCCTCTGAAGGGAAGCAGGAATGCTGTGCTAATACAAGATGGGCGCAGCCTGAACCTCTCCTTCTGGGACAGATTCTGCCAAAACAGCAGAGTCATAATACACAGAGCACATATCTGCCAGCCTGGAATGGAACATATCTAGATCTTGTCAACCACTCCATTGACTGCAACAAGCAAGAGGAATAACGGTCTGTTGCCGGGTCCAATGATGAAGAAATATGGCCACTGGGTATTACTCAGAGCACCAGCCAGACCTACCTGGCTTTGCTGAAAACAATGAACAGGTTCAAGTACTTCCAAGCATGTGGTTAGTGCAGAAAGATACACAGACATCAGGAGAAAAGAAAAGAGTGGCCTACTAGGAGCCTGGTGGGCTACAGTCCACAGAGTAGCCATGAGTTGGACAGGATTTAGCAACTAAACCACAACCACCACTAGAGCCAGCAGTTAGGGATAAGCTGTAGAGGAAAACGAAAACTGAAACAAATAGATTTTTGTTGTAAAATAACATCTTTTTTGGGTGAGGCTGCTTTTGTGGCTAATCAAATTAAAACTCCTCTCCAGAAGCAAATACTGTTAATACTTTCTTATATATTCTTCAAAGAAGTTTTCTAATCATATCCAAGCAAATATATGTATTTCCTTTTGTAAACCCAAATGGAACTCACCTTTTAAATGTGCCAAGTAAGGAAATAATATTATAAATGTAAAGAGAACCATCACCTCCAAATCAAAATGTTTTCTTTGGATTTTTATTGGTGTTACATAAAGCAAAGAACATATTCACTTGTACCAAGAATATATTATAATGGGCCATAAGTCCTAATTTAACATGCATTAAGAACCCATGAGGTTGTCTGGCCAAAAGTAGCATTCTTCTGCTGGCAAAGATTTTACATTCTTTGATTCTGGATGGATCCTGAATTCTGGTTGTTGAGTTGAATCTGTCGTACAATGGTACATTTACAAGAGGTACAAAAAACGCATTGAGCTTTGAAGGCCATTGTAGGGGGGCTTGTTAGAAAACCTCTTTTGCAACCCAGTGAAATAATCTGATTCCTCTTTCCTCAGCCCACGTCTCCTCCAACTTAAATCTCACGGAAGTGGTCTCCCCAGCACCCCCACCCACCCTCACCCAAAGCATTAAGGAAGTGAAGAACCTAGAGTTCAGTGAGGAAAAAATGTGAGGCTAATCTGCTTGAGATAGCTGTGTTTAGAGGACTTAAGGCTGAAATGTTTTTTCATGTCTATGTGGCTTTTCATGCATACTGAGGATAAGGTTCTTCAAGTACCCTTGGTCATCTCCCTCTATTCAATCAAGAATGCATTTTGCCACAGCACATGCCTTTTCCTTGTGGCTCCTGGGCTCTGGTTTTGGTGTGTTTTTGTTTTATTTTCATCTTTGTTTTTTAAAGTCATTTTGGTCAGTCCCTCACCAACAGAGGGTTCCAGAACCAGGGTTTATTACATCTGGTGGTGCTGTTCCAAGTACCCTGGAATTCGGCCCAGCAAACCAAAGCTGGACTGTTTACCTCCTGAGGGCTGGCAAGTTCTACAACAAAGCATTCCACGAAAGATGGTAGTTCAGAGTAACTTCCATCACTCAAGTTTGGCAGAATGTTTTAAAAGGCCTAAAACTCCAACATTTTTGCAGGCTTCTCCTTCAGCTTCCTGACCTTTTGGTAACCCCTGATGGCCAGCACGGCCCCCACTGCAAAGACCCCAATGCCCAGGGCAGCAAAGATTCCAGCACCAATGTCTCCCCCATGGAAACTGCAGCTGAAGCCACTGTATCCTTTGCTCTGGTACAGTGCCTCCCTCTCCTTGCACACGGGAGAGGCGTAGGCAGCCGAGAGGTTGTGGAAATAGAAGTACAAGGCCGGGATGTATGCCCCGGCAATGAGCACATGCAGCACACCTTCAATCACCAGCAATGGGGGACAGTGCCACGGCACCCGCAGAACGCCCAGGGTGAGGAGGAGGCAGCAGAAGGCCATGAAGGCTCCGCTGCAGGCCATCGCCACAGTGACCGTGGGCAGCTTTAGCTGGTAGAACTCAATGTCCAACTGCTGCGCTTTCTCCCCATCAGCACCACTGAAACCACTGTAAGCCCCTCCATACTGGTAGTAGTAAACGCCCCCCAGGCTGGTGATGCCAGTGTAGCCCCCCGTGGAATTGTAAGACACAGAGCTGCAGGCCAGGATCAGCAAGTTCAGGAGAACCTCCAGCATTTGGCAGCAGGCTGCAAAAGAAGGGTGTGTTACCATTTTGAGAGATGCTGTTTTATACTTGAAGACTTCCACCTAAAGGCTTATCTTCCCCGTGGCAGCTCATGCCACAGCCAGCTCTTTCTTCTTGCCCTGGGAAGGCCTGAGCAGCCAAAGCTGCAGGATTAGCACTAGATGGCAGCAGGGAATCATGGCCTCCAGAAATAATGTCAGAGATACTTTGGACTGAAAAGGATAACTCTAAAAACAGCAAAGCAGCCGGTCCAGGTGGCGGCAGGACGACGAGGGAAGATGTCAGGCCAGGGAGCAGGAAGAAAGGTGTTGTATATGGAAGGCAAGAAGATTCTTTGCCCTAGCCCTGCCCTGCCACAAAGACTGAAACAATAGTTACATCCTCTTTAGATGCTTTGTGGCCATCTTCAGTTTGCTTCCCTTGTGGCTCAGCTGGTAAAGAATCCGCCTGCAATGCAGCAGATCTCGGTTTGATTCCTGGTTTAGGAAGATCCGCTGGAGAAGGGATAGGCTACCCTCTCCAGTATTCTCGGGCTTCCCTTGTGGCTTAGCTGGTAAAGAATACCCCTGCAATGCAGGAGACCTGGGTATTCGATCCCTGGGTTGGGAAGATCCCCTGGAGAAGGCAAAGGCTACCCACTCCAGTATTCTGGCCTGGAGAATTCCACGCACTGTATAGTCCATGAGGTTGCAAAGAGTTGGACACAACTGAGCAACTTTCATTTTCTTTCAGTTTGGAAGAGGAAACTTCTCCAAGTTTGAAAAAGATTGTAACATAGTGCTTAAAAATTATAATGAAGTCAGAAAAAAGCATGGAAGTTATCCATCAAAATATTAATCATGGTTCACAAGTACCAGAGATAGGGAAGATTAGGTTAATTAATTACTGAATTAAATATAATTAAACAGTAAAACATAATTTACTGTTCTTAGACTTTAACTCAAGAAGTAGTGGCTCAGATGGTAAAGAATCTGCCTGCAATTCAGGAGACCTGGGTTTGAGCCCTGAGTTGGGAAGATCCCCTGGAGGAGGGCATGGCAACCCACTCCAGTACTCTTGCCTGGAGAATCCCATGGACAGAGGAGCCTGGTGGGCTACAGTCCATGGCATCGCAAAGAGTCAGACACGACTGAGCCACTAGCACTTTCACTTTCAAAGAGTAAATCTGGGCTGTGATACTTTTCCAGAGCTGGATTTTTTCAGGATCCTTGGCTGCATTGTCCTGAACAATCAGAGAGCCCCAGCTTTCTACCAAAGCTGGCTGCTTTCCTTAAAGTCAGTTTTATTGTGATATACCTTATCCACAACAAAATGACCTGCATTAAGCACACAGCTTGGTAAGAGTATGACAAATGTGTATGCAAAGATACAAAATATAAAAGTGTATTACAAATGTGATTATGTAATCATAATCAAGATATAGACTATTTTCATCCTCCCAGAAAGTTCCCTAAAACCCTTTGGGGTCAACCGCTCGCCCTCCTCCTCAGGGTACCACTGATCTGCTCTCTGCCATTAGAAACTAGGTTTGTCTTCCTCACATTTCACGCAGATGGAATCATACAGTTATGTGCTCTTTTGTGTATGGCTTCTTTTTCTCTTCATAATACAAAGCTGGGAGTTGTATGTGCTGGCATGGTTCTAGTGGGTCAGCTGACTGTAGGATCAGGCTGTTGCATCTCCCTGGCTTTTACAGAACCAGATTTTGGGCCTGGGTCCAGTTGGTCTAGGGTTTCCCTGGTGGCTCAGTGGTAAAGAATCTGCCTGCGAATGCAGGAGACACGAGTTCAATCCCTGGAAGTTGGGAAGATCCCCTGGAGAAGGACATGGCAACCCACTCCAATATTCTTGCCTGGAAAATCCCATGGGCAGAGGAGCCTGCCGGCCTATAGTCCATGGGATCCCAAAGAGTCAGCTAAACAGCAACCACCAGGTGGTCTAAGCATGAAGGTGTGTTACACCTGCACATTCGCTAATTGAAACCAGCCTCTCTCAAGTATTATGTTTACACTCTGCCATTCCCCCTCCAAAATGCAAATGGCATTACTGTTTTATTTAATTATAAAAGTAACACACACTGATAGTACAAAAAAAAAAAAAGAAAATCTAGATGAAACAAACATATAATATAAAAATGATCTAAAGTCCAGTCAATAAAACTGGAGAAGCCACTGTTACCATTTTTTTTTTCTTTTGGACTTTTCTGCTACATGTGCATAATTTTTGCTGTTTATTTGTTTTTAAGTAAGAACAGGGTTCTCTTCTCTCTACTATTATATAACCCATTTTTTTCACTTAATATGGTGTGAACAGTTTTTCTACCATAGCAAATATAAATATATTTATATTTTTAAAGGATTATAGGATGCCACAATGAATTTAAATAATTTCAATGTAAAGGATATTTAGGCTTTTCCCAGTGTTTTGCTATATGGGAGCAGATATATGCTATGTATTTCCTAGTAGAGTTTGAAAAGGACAGAGCCTCCACAAACTCCTTATTCCTGTTGTAGCTTTAAATAGAACCAGAAAACAATCACCAGGGATGGGGGAGATGTCTGGTAGCACGTTTTAAAAAATAAAAGCCCAGAGAGTCTCTAGGCTTTACTCGCCCCTTAAAGGATCTGGTTCACTGAGTCAGCACCTCTCTCTTAAGAAGTAGTTATGCATTTCAGGTCATTCATTCCTCTGATTCTGGCTGAATATTTCAGACCTGTTAATGAGTTAACACTCTTAAAGTCAGCCATGGTTTGAAATCTTGACATAGGCTCAGTCCCATAAGCACTGGGTAAGGATACTGAGAATGCAAGGGTACTGGGGTATTGAGAATGCAAGTTAAGGGGCAAAATCTCCACAATTGTCCCCCTGAACCTTTTCATCATGGTCACAAGTCAATGCCATAGGCAGTGAGAAGCCATCTCAGAACTATACCTCTAGGATCTGAATGACAGACAATACCACTGACTATAGAGATTATAACATATGGAGAGAGAAACTAAATTTTTAAGGATGGTTTGCAAGTAAGGCTGCAAGGTGAATGCAAACATTACTTTTAAAAAAACCACACACACTTTCCTTGTTACACTGGCCTAATTCTCCTCTTATGATCTTTTCCATTATGATTTGAGCAACAAAGGTCTAAAGGAAGAGGAAAAGGACAAAAAGGGAAAGGAGAAGCTGCCCCAAATGCAAATCGGAGGAAGCCAGGAGGAGAGCAGGCGATGTATCTCCTTCCCAGGGAACCTGTAACTCCTCACCATCCCTCCAAATAATAAACCGATAGCACAACCTATACACACACAGGATTCCTAGTGATCTCTTATAAACATGTAACATTCGTACTTGCTTATTAGCTGATCTTTATCCTCAGCCTTTAAAGATTTTGGTAGCTGAGGAGTCTTGCCCAAAACCATGGATTCAGGGCTTATCTCTTTTTGTCAGTGTTCCACTGAACTTCCTAAGGGTGATTCAGCCCAAACTGCAGGGTCTCCCTAAGAAGTCAGAGCCATAGCTGCCTCCCCTCTTTGCCCATTTGCTGGAGGAGGAGGACGTGATTTCACCGACAAGGAAAAGAAGTCACAGAAGATCTAAGACAAGGCTGAAATTCTTCAGGTGACCTTTACACAGGTGTGCCTTTCCTGCTGAGACAAGTTCCTGGTGTTCAATGACTGCTGCTCTCAAAACAATACAACATTTTGTTTATACACGGGTCCCTGTGTGTCCAGAGATCTTTATGAGCCCTCATTTGTTAGCTTCTGACTGCTGAGCCATCCTTTCACTATCTTGACTCAGAAACCCAACCTCTAGGCCCAAAGCCAAATAACCAGAGGCAATCAAAGCTAAATCAGGGGCCTCAAGCTTGGCCCTCTCCTCTCTCTTGGTAAATCACAATCACCGAAGAATACCTCTAGAGAGAAACCTGTTAAACAGCCTCTGGCTTGTTCCTACTGTTTATATCATCAAGAAAAGAAGGTCAAGCACATAAACCATATCAGGCCTTAGCGTTAGCTCTAAGTTTCAATTCCAGCTCTTCCACTTCACAGCTGTGTGACTTTGTATAACTTACTGTACCTCTCTGAGCCTCAGGAGTTGTTGAGATAATTAAAAGCAATGGGGTGTGCCAACATATGTAAACTAGAGTGAGGATTCTTGTACCCGGATTACCTAGAGCTCTTCAATAAGAGTTCTATGTAATCCTATAACAACATATCTCACTGTAATCATTCTAAGGGACACTTTCAGGTATAAATTTCATGATTTCTCCCCCTCCGGTTGAGAAGTTTTCCCCTCTTAGTCATAGGCAGCTGAGGTAAGTTTCTCACCAAATCATGTGAGCCATAAGGACTCACCCTGACAAACCTGATTTTCTTCATTGTTGGCAAGGCCAGGCCTGGTGTTAGGATGGGAACTCTGGAAAACCACATTTGGAGCTGATACATAATATTATTTAAAATCACAGTTCTTCAAACTGTGGATTCTAAGAAGTATTTTTTTTTTTAATATTTAATTTTATTTTACCTTTATTTATTTGACTGTGCCGGGTCTTAGTTGCAGCACGCAGGACCTTCAGTCTTTGTTTCAGCATACAAACTCGTAGGTGCAGCATATGGGATCTAGTTCCCTGTGACCAGGGTTCGAAACCAGGTCCCTTGTACTGGGATTGGAAGTCTTAGCCAGTGGACCACCAGGGAAGTCCCTTAAGTGTGGCTTTTTGTTTTTAATGACACAGAACAGGACAGAAGTTGGTTCATGACGTGTGTGTATTTCTTACTGTGGGTTTCAGTCAACAACATTTAAAAGTCATGATGGCATGTTTGGGGATGAGATCTCCTGTCCTGTGGCATGAGCTCAACCTGTCTGCCATCTCCAGGTCATCTTCCCTCTCTAGTTCTGACCACCTTGCCTGATGAGCCCCACTCTGACAGCTGGCAGCTCAGAGCTGGCTCTGCCTGGAGGTCCATCTGCAGCCTGAACACTGCAGGCATAGCTGCCTCACCACCCCTAGGCACGTCCGAGAAGAAACATGGGAAACCCGGCCACCAGTTTTTTGTTTTTTTAGAAAATGTGATCTTCATGTGGGTATGAAAACAAAAATGCTAGGAAATCAAAAGGGAAGCCTGCTTGAATTTTTGCCCCACCAGCTTGGACCCCTTCCAGGACCACCAGCAAAGGTAAGTAAATGGTCTGCCTTCAAAATGGCTCACCTCTCCCAGTGCACAGGTATCTGCACTTGTGGCATTCCAGGAGCCCTTCAGCCTCTGACTGGTAATATACCGCTTCCTGTAGTCCAGGCCGGGGGTTCGAGAGTGGGTATCTCCCTGAAGTGGGTTCACTATAACCAAACACATACATGGCCATTAGCAGGCTTCAAATTGAATAGCTTGTTCAGTATTAGAACTCTGAACACCTCATGTTGGGCCCAGAGGTTAAAGAATGTACAGAACAGAAAATCTGCCACAGTTTTTATACTCGAGAGAATTTTCTGGCTTAGTGGCTCCACAGGGTGTTCAAACACTTGGCCCAATTTTGCGAAGTACGTCACTTATCCTAGTAATTCTGAGCCCTACCTTTCATGCTGGCTTGTTGGCCTGCTGGGGAAGTGGGGAGGGTGGCTATTGAACAGGTAGCTGGGAACCACTTGGAGGAGCTTTTCAGTTCATTGAGGACAGGCTCTCTTCAAAACTAGTTTGCATCCACAAGACTGATGTCCAGGCTGGCATTCTCTTCCTTCCCTTGTTACTTTGGAAACAGGTGAATCAGCAGTAATTCTCTAGACTCTGGTGGTATGGACAACTTTGGACATCATAGCTCTCCCTCTTCTTCTGACAGCCGTGGCATATTCTATTCTGCTCCTTCTCCTCATGCCCCACTCCCAACCTTCCCCATCACTTCATCCAGCACATCCTGGGCTTTTGTCCAAGATTCTGTGATGAATGGTGAGGGCTGCATTCTACTACCTGGGCTCCAGGGATTCTTAGAGAACACAGATCTCATCATGTATCTTTTGGGTTCAAAATCCATAAAGTCCAAACTTTAAGCACAGTGCAGGAGGGCCCTTGTTCATCACTCTCCACTCACAATCTCACTTTTACAGACCCAGCCATAGTGAACTGCCCCTCTCCCTGCCCCAACAGATGATCTGCATTCCCATGCCTCTAGGTCACCGTGAGAGACAGCCTGGAGCTTCTTCTCCAGAACTCAGCTTTGAGTCTGTCTCCTCTGGCAAACATTCCAGAGCCCAATCATGGCCCCAACTCAGTTCTCTCTGAATCAGTTTCCCCTGGAGCAGCACATTCAAATGTGCTGCAAATCGGCCTGTTTACTTATCAGTGTCCTATGGACATCCAGAGTAGACCTCTGTAGTCCCTGGCCCTGCCTCCCATCCATTAAATAGATGCTTGTTATGTGGAGGAGAGTCAAATAAATGGCTTTTGATTTTAAACCACACCAACTATCTGTGAACAAAAGAAGCAAAAGTATTCCCTTCACTAGCTTTGGGGCTAGCAGGGGTAGTGGTGGTTGTGGTGGTCAGGGAGCCCAGGACACCATTTTAAAAGGAAATTTAAAAAAGAAGTTGTGGCTTCTCCTAGGTCAGGCAGTTACAACGCAGTGTGGCTTTAGGTAGGGAAACAATGGCCAGTGCCTGTGACTATAACTGGGCACTCCCTTTGTTACACCTTGGCTAGTTAGTTCTAGATAATTTAACATAAACTCAGGATAGTAGCTTTCCCGCTTTGTGGACACAACTGGGAGAGAGACTGGGCTAACGCCTCCAAGTCCCACAGCAGACAGGAGTCTGGACTCCTAGGAATGAGGGCAAAAGCCAGAAGGTAATCATCACTCTAGTACCTGCCTGTCTCCTGGCATCTAATCTGGGCATTCAGTAATTTTTGTGGAGTTAGATAGAACATGCAATGGGAAAAGGACCACTTCCCTAAAGAAAGAGTGGGGCCTGGGAATACTGCCTCTCCTTCCTTCCTTCCATCCTTACCCTCTCTCCCAGCTCACCAAGTCTTCTAAAACATCATGATGCTGTCACTCCACAGGCCTTGTGGGAACTCAGTTCTAAAGACAGGGATGGCAAAATGTGTTCATTTAGGAGGGTGAGGTCTGAGCCAACCACGGGATTTGAATGAAGCTGACCGGAAGGCCCTCACTGACAAAGATGGGGTAAATCTCTGCCCTTCTATGCAGTTTTAGGCTCATTCAACCCTTTGGCTAAAAGTCCAGTTTCTCCCAGCTGTCTGGTTTTGAAATGCATATAGCCCTGGAAGGGGTTACACATTAATGTATTAACTTTTCACTGGGCTGACTTTATTAGGCCTGGACCTCCAGGGAACGGGACTTCGGGGAGGGCTGGTTTTGGAAAACAGGACAAGGGTCTGAAGCCTCAAAGGGGCTGTCCTGTGACCACATGGGTGTGGGCATGTGTGCTGGAGGTGGGGGGAGAGGTTGTATCAGGGAGGAGCCTCAGATTCACCCCACCCACTCAATCTCCTTCCTACTCCTTCCCCTTCTGGTCCTGCAGTCCTTTCGTCTTCTCTACCTGGAACCCCGGCCCTGCCACTTTCAACGGGGAGTGGCGGGGAGGAGTGGAGAGGGGTAGTGGGTCTCTGCTTTGTTAACCGGGTTCAGGTCAAGAAGTGTGTGTGCGGGGGAGGGGAGAGCATGTGGTGGTGGGCACTGTAAGGTCTTCCTTCCCTCCTTAGGTCACCTCTAAAAGCTCAAAAGGGAAGAATGGCACTTTCTCTAAACCCGCTTCCTAGGAGTAGTCGGGACCGCAGGCGGACCTCAGCCCCAGGCTTCCTCAGGGCGAGATCGAGGGCCCCCGCCGCCCCACCTCACCTTTCTGGTCCTCTGCGTCCGAGGCCCTCCTTCCACAGGGGCGGCGGCTCCGGGGTTTCCCTCGTCGCGGGCCAGGGGGGAGGGTCCGCGTCCCAGGTCGGTCGCCGGGGTCCGTCCCGCGTCCGACTCTGACGGGAGTTTTCCCAAACTTTTTGTTCGCCACCGCGATGGTCCCCGGCCCTGGGCCTGTCCTGGCGAGGTTCCCGGTTCCTCTCCCTGTCCCGGTCCCCGTCCCTCCGCCCGCCCCCGTTTCTCTCCCTATGCCGGTCCCCGGCTCTGTCCCGCTGTCTCTCGGGGTGGCGGTCTCGTTCCGGGCGGGGATGCCGGTCTGGGTCCCGTTCTCTCGGCCGGGCCCGGGACTCGCGAGTCCCCGACGTCTGTTCCATGGCTCGGTTTCGCGTCCCCGCCCCGGAACGACCCGAGGGCAACAATCCACAAGTTTCGACGGCAGGTGGCCAAGCCTGGGGGCGGGACGCTCACCTGCGCGCACGCGCACTAATCCCGCTGCGGCCTAGGCGAGCATTCACCTGAGGACCCGCGCCTGAAGGGGGAGTAGGTGAGCGCGGCCCGGGGCCTGGGCGCGCGTGAGCCGGGATTGCGTGCGATCCTAGAGCGTCGTGCAGCTTTACACACTGCGGACGCGACTACCGCCTGCCCGCCGTACCTCGTCAGCCCTGAGGTATCTGCACCATGACCCCTCAAGATGGCGACCAGGAGGACTGTGCTCAACTTAGCACCTTGGGTTTGCTTTCCCAGAGTGTTCCCATCTGCTTTCTCCCTCAGCCACTCAGCCAGCCACCCAGCGGTTGTCCTCTTCCTCCCTCTTCCGCTGTCCTTACAACTGTGTTGTAGGGGACTTGAGGCCAATTCATCCATTTGTGAGTCCAGGACTTAATAACGTTTTTTTTTTTTTTTTAAAATGATGACCCACACAGAATTGACAACTTTTTTGTCAAATCAGGATATTTTAAAACAATATTGCTGTCTGTTAATGAATTATTTCAACAAATATGTGTGAGCATAGTGGGCTTGAGAGATCCAGCGGTGAACTCTCCTCGTTCGGCACTTCTACTTCACTGTGTAAGGAGAACAGGCAATCAAAAGAGAAGACAAATTTTGATGGAGCAGGTTTCTTTATATAGATCTTGGAAGGGGACACTTGAGTTCTGGAAGAGAAGGAGGCAGGCTTGGGAACAGCTGAGAGAACGTTCCAGAAAGAAAAAAAGCCTGCGTTATGCAGAGGGCTGGACAAGAAGGTCACTGTGAGTGTAGTGAGGCGGGGATGAGTTGAGGCTGAGAAATGGAGCAGGAGCTGGTATAGGGCCTTCATGGTCAACAGTCATTTTCAAAGAGCAGCGGGGAAACTTTGACGTGTTTTGAGCCAGGAGAGTGACTTCTGATTTGCTCTGACTTACGTGTTTTTGTTTTTTTTTTTTAAATAGATTTCTCGGGCTGCTGTGAGGAAAATGGACTCTGTGGGCCCAGGAACAGTGTCAAGAGATGAGTTAGGAAGCTACTGAAGCATTCCAGGTAAGGAGTGGTGGTGGCTGAGTTGATGGTGACAAGTGGACAGATGTAGGTTGCAGTTTGGAGGAAGAACTTAAAAGATGAGTGGGTGGAGGAATCATTTACTGAGATGGGAAGACTGGAGAGAACCAGGTTTGGAGAAAATTGGAAGGTTCTATTTTGGACATGTTGAAACCACAGGACTCCACTCAGGGCTTAATGAAGCTCAGATTCTTTATGTCTCAAGTCAGAGGGAATTCAGTGAGTGAGAGGCAAAGTGATAGGTAAGAAATAGGTTTATTAATATAGAATGCTTGTGAAGGATACAGGTGAGCAGGCAAGAGGGTGCTGCTTCAGGAAATAAGTGGAATACATTTTTATAATCAAAGGAAAAGTAGGGAAGAAGAGAAGACTACCTTCTTCCTCTTCCTTTGTAAAGATGTTGCAGGAAAATAGGACACTAAAGTATGATCAGGTCCAAGGTGAGTTCCTTGGATGGGCCACCAGATAGTGGTCCTTGGCTTTGCACAGGAAAGAATTCAATTCAAGAGCCAGCCATAGTAAAATGAAAGCAGATAATTGAGAGAAAGACACATTCCACAGGCAGAATGCACTTCATCTCAGAAGGAGAGAGCAGCACCCCATGGGGTGGTTAGTTTTTATGGGCAGGGTAATTTCATAGGCTTAGGAGCAGGAGGATTGTTCAAACTCTTTGGGGGGAAGAGCTGGGGATTTCCAGGACTTGGGCTACTGCCCACTTTTTTACCTTTTATGAACTGTCATGGTGCATGTGCATGTGTCATTTAACGTATGTTAAAAGAGATGGGAATACCAGACCACCTGACTCACCTCTTGAGAAACCTATATCCAGGTCAGAAAGCAACAATTAGATCTGGATATGGAACAACAGACTGGTTCCAAATAGGAAAAGGAGTATGTCAAGGCTGTATATTGTCACCCTGCTTATTTAACTTATATGCAGAGTACATCATGAGAAACNGGGATTGGGGGCAGGAGGAGAAGGGGACGACAGAGGATGAGATGGCTGGATGGCATCACCAACTTGATGGACATGAGTTTGAGTAAACTCCAGGAGTTGGTGATGGACAGGGAGGCCTGGCATGCTCTGATTCATGGGGTCGCAAAGAGTCGGACACGACTGAGTGACTGAGCTGAACTGAATGAGTACAATAAGCATATAAAGAGATTCAAGGTCTATAGGAAAGAGAATCTTCTGCCATTTTGGGCCTGGTAGGTTCTAACTAGTTTTTGTCATATCCTCAACAGCTATGTCATTCATTCTTTTAAAGGTTGTACCTTGCCTCCTTCCCTTCTGTCTCAGTGTTAAATTTGAGATGGTATGCTTCATCCACGTGCCCAGTTGCAATGGAACATATGAATGAGTCTGGAATTGGGTGGTGGGGGAAGTAAAAGGACTCCTCTAAGGAGAGAGGGAGTTAGAATAGAGAAGGCCTTGGGCAGAGCTGAAGGAAAAACTAACATTCAGACTTAAAAAGCAAGAAGATTAAGAAGTGAGGAGTGAGGTAGAAAATCCAGGAGGGTGGGGGCACCAGGCCTATCTGCACAGACATCATCCTCCATCCCATAGATGGGCTCCTGTGAGCTCCATCAGCCTTGCTTCCCAGAGTAGAGAAGATGGGCCAAATCCTAGGACTATCTACAAATATTTATTTGAACAAACCCTGTTCTGAGTCTGGGACTGCTATGGCTATAGAGGAGTTTTGTGAACAAGCAGACACAGGATGGTTTGTAAAGTGTCATGGTCCTTTCTCTTTCAAACCTTCCCTCTGGAAGCTTCTTTTGGAGTAAACAGACCTCCATACCAGCTTACCCTTTTGTTTCATTTGTTTTTGTTTTATTTCATATCTTTACCTTAATAAGCTAATTGTTATTTTGCCTCATTTGTTCTACAGTTTTATATATAGCTATAAAATCTGTTTGATGAAACATATAAGTTCCAGACACATGAGTGTCCCCACTAAATACTTGCTTATACTCAACTTGAGTTTACTGGTCATTTCCTTTTTTTTTTTTTTTTCACTTATTTTTATTAGTTGGAGGCTAATTACTTTACAATATTGTCGTGGTTTTTGCCATACATTGACATGAATCAGCCATAGATTTACATGTATTCCCCATCCCAATCCCCGCCCCCCACTCCCTCCCCATCCCATCCCTTTGGGTCTTCCCAGTGCACCAGCCCTGAGCACTTGTCTCATGCATCCAACCTGGGCTGGTGATCTGTTTCACCCTTGATAGTATACTTGTTTCAATGCTGTTCTCTCAGAACATCCCACCCTCACCTTCTCCCACAGAGTCCCAAAGTCTGTTCTGTACATCTGTGTCTCTTTTTCTGTTTTGCATATAGGGTTATCGTTACCATCTTTTAAAATTCCATATATATGCGTTAGTATACTGTATCAGTGGTCATTTCCTTATGATTAACTTCTAGTTTAACATTTTGGCAGGAATATTAAAATAGGTGATGCTGTATCGTTCTTGCTATGTTCTATCAGGAAGCACAAGATGTCAGTTTGTCCCACGATTGGTGATGTTAAATTTGATTACTCGGATAAGGTAGTATCCATCAGATTTTTCATTTTAAAGGAAGCACCCTTCCATTTGTATTTAATAGCTTGAGACTTTACGTTCCTTCTTAACCTTTCTTGCTTGAATGAACTATTACAATGATGGTTGCAAAGTTGTGTTTTTTAATTTTATCAATCCTTTTATATTTATTGATTTATTGACATTTTCTAATAATGCAGAACTTTCCCTTCCACCTACTGTGATCAACCCGCAGAAGTAGTTTCTGTACCCCACCCCAAATTTAGTTCTCATGTCAAGACTGATGATGCCAAAAATGCACCAGTTGGGTATATTTGTTGCTTACATAATGAGGCTTTCTGGTGAGAGCAGAACAGATTCCCAAGTAGACTTGAGAACAACTTGAGAAAACAGGAAGGGGTGACTGGCCTTGGAGTTTTATTGTGATTAGGGAATACATCTGGAGTGAAGATTCTTGTGTAGTCACATCAAGAACCTGCCTGATGTGAACTTCTGCCAGTGTCAAGGGCTTACCTAAGCTTTCTTATCAGCTTTCTCAGATGTGGGGTAGAAGGGGCAGGGGACTAGTGGGACTTGAAAAATGTCAGTAGTCAGAGTCAAAAATGGTGTCAGACTATTATATTAACTAGATAGACTTATTTTTTCCCTGACAATGTGTCATAATGTATTAATTTTTTGATACTTAACATTGCCCAAATTTGGCTGGTGGGAATCCTTTTAAGCTATCTCCAGTGTGCTTTTGACATCAGGAGAAATATGCTGATATGCTCATCAGTCTTTGTGGTTTCATCTTGTGCTTATTTGCCTGATTTGCCTCTTTCCTGAAGCACTCACTTCTCTTTCTTTCTCTCTCTCTCTCTCTTTTTTTTTTTGAGCTCACTTCTCTTGATGTTCCCTCATTTGGAGAATGCTCACTCCTGAGCCCCGCATCCCCATAGGAATGTTCTGTTAACATCCACAGAATATCCTTTGTTCCTTTGAGGCTTGTCAGAGTTAAATTATAAAATGGCCTGGATGGGCCAGTGACCCAACGTAACAGTATCTTAAACATGATAGAAAGTTATTTTTCTCTTGGAAAAATCTGAGCCTATTTGGTGGCTTTGCTCTGTGAAGTTCTTGGAAATTTAGACTCCTTCTGTGTTGTTCTTTTACCCTTCCAGATGCTGCCCTCTTCTACAAGCTCCAAAATGTCAACCAGGAACATTTTAGCCCACAGGAAGGGAAGAGAATTAGGGATTAGTAAGGGCTCTTCTCATTTCTTGAAGAGTGAGACCCACAAGTTGGAGACATCACCTTCTGT